ACATTTGATGGCTCATATATGCATGGGATACAAACTTATACAATTGGTCATATACGCATTGAATGGCTGCAGTGGTGTATACTCGAACCTGTATGCAATATCTATGTGCAATACGTTGATTCATGTATATATTTGCTTATTTAGTCATACCATACGTACATAGATTAATTCGTGTACATACAGAAACACACACACACACACACACACATACACGAGAGTCCTTATATAAAATTCGTTTGTGTTTTTATGCATTTTTTTATTATTGTAAATCTATATATATTTTGTTTTTTTGCAGTGACCAATGAGGTGACTTGGTGAAAATGACGTAAATCAGTACGAGCCTTGTGATTGGTCTGTTAGTAGTACGGTTGATTGCATTATAACTTTCCATATACGTCTTCATCATATGCAGAGTTTTTCCTTCCTTCCTTCCTTCCTTCCTTCCTTCCTTCCTTCCTTCCTTCTTCTTCCACAGTTATCAAGACTGTTAGCGGTATGTATATTTATCTTGTTTTCTGTCTCCTCTCTTCTCTATTCTACCCGTTCTGTTATTGTTCATCGTTTTCTATTTGTTCTCCCCTGACTAGTGTTGTTCACCAGGAAGCTGCCAGCTGCCGTATTCTTCTTCCTTAACTGTGGTGTTCTTCTGTTCTTTTCCCTTGTTCGTAAATATTCCTCTTCCTCCTCCTCCTCCTCTTCTTCCTCTTTTCCCTTCCATTTCATTCATCCTCCTCTCCTGTTTCCCTTCTATGCTTTCTCTTCTTTCCCCTCCTCCTCTTAATCCTCTTCCATCCTCTTCTTCACTTCTCTTCCTCCTCCTCCTCCTCCTCCTCCTCCTCCTTCTCCTCTTCCTCTACTTATTCCCGTTCCTTTCATTTTCACACATCCTCTTCCTTTCTCTATTGTCCTTCCTTCACTCTTTCTTTTCTCTTCTTGTCTTCTTCCTTTCCCTTCCTTTCTTCCCTGCTTTCTATTCCCTTCATCTCCCCTTCTTCCGTTCCTGTTTTCTCTTCTTCAATTTGTACTCTTTCATTCTTCTTTCCCCACTTTCCTTTCCTCCCTTCTCCTCTCTCTTCTCTTTCATTCCCCTCTCCCTACGCACTTCCTTTCCCTCTTCCCTACACCTTACCTACCCTTACTTACCCCTTCCACTCCCTTTTTCCTTCCCCCTCTTATCCATTTTCTCTCCCTCTCCCTCACATTATCGAACCTCTCACTTCCCCATTTTCTCTCTCCTCTTCTTTCCCTCCCCATCCTTACCCCTTCCCTATATTCTCTCCTTCTTTCTCTCCCCTATCCCTTACTACTCACTTCCCCTTCCTCCGTACCTCTGCAGTCACCCCCACGCTCTCCCCCCTCCGTATCTCCGTCCCTCACATCCCCCCACTCCTACCTTCCTCCACACCCCGCCCCCAACCACACCTATAAGACGCCAGTATAACCAATTTAGCGTGTATTACCCCCCCCTCCTGCAGTATGGCCCCGAGACCAGCTTTAACATGAAGTCTTGTCTTAATTTTCTTACTGGAGATTAAAAGTTAGACAAAGAGGCGGAGGAACATCGTTATGGCCGCCCTCTCCTACCCTGGGGAGGGAGGATCGTCTACCCACTTCCTCCCTCCCAGCCCTGCTTCTCCTCCCCCTCACCCACACTCCCACATTACCCCTTCTCCCTAACCCCCACTTTCCCCTTCATCGCTCCTAAAGATTCCCAAAGATTCGTAAGTTGTATTTCTTTGTGTCTTGGGAATAAGAGAACTATCAACTTGTTATGGTAGAGTCACAGCACAGTTTAAGAGCCATATTCCATTGTTTATCTTAGTGTGTGTTAGGGAGGAGAGTTCTGGTAGTCTCAATACGTAAGATTCTTCAGTGAATATTATTGTTGTCTTATCTGTGACTTAAGTGAACAGCTGTCTAGTTAGGGTAGAGTCTTAGCACAAGTTAAGAGCCATTTATTTCATCATTTATTCATTTTGTTTACTCAAGATTATAGGTCCAGTTCTTAATAATTCTTGCGGTAAATTTCTTGGTATTTCGGGACATAAGAACCCCCTATCTAGGTACGGTATAGTCTCACAACACAATATAATATTTTTTTTTCTTTACCTAACTTAATTATTCCTTTAAACTGGAGAAAGATAATAATTGTCTATGACCGATACAACCCAGACTCCATTTTGTTATCTCTCTGTCTTTACGCTGGTTAAGTGAGTCAGTCAGTCTGGTGTTCGTTCTCACATCTCCAGTTACGAGGGAAATATTTTAAGCTTACGAACCTTTGAGAATCTTAAGACTTCCTGGTGGATGAAATTAAGATTGAGAGTGGACCGAGGATATGTGACGTGAGGGAGGATGAGGGAGAGAAATGAAGGGGAGGGGGAAGAGTAGAGGAAGGATGGATAGGGGGGATAGGTCGAAAAGATAAGAGGAGGAAGAAGAGGGATGGAGGGAGGGAGGGATGGGAGAAGGATGATGAGGGAAAGAAGGGGAGGATCCTTGTCAGTAGGATACTTGAAGCACAAAACCTGAACACTGGGAGTGTCTGCCATCCCGTCTGGTTCCCGAGATATCCTAGACTCAGAGACTGTCAGTTGATTGAGATTATCTAAAAGAAGCCCCCCAGACTGGTGCCTGTACTCCGACACTTCAGGTACTCAGGGGGACAGAGATATTAAAGCGACTGAAGTTGTCTAGCTTATACTATAGAAGGGTAGGGAGTGATTTAATTTCAATCAATAAACACCTCAGGGGTCATTACTCAGTCGAGTGTTCATACGTGGAGCTGGCGGATGCCCACCCCACTAAGGGTCACAGCTAAAGTTGAAGACGCCATAATTTCAGAAAGTTGTCAGGGCAAACTTTTTCAGAGTGAGAATGTAAGATCTTGGAACAATCTGCTAGAGAGTGTTGTGACAGCACCGAGTGTAGGAGCACATTCAAGACCAGACTTGACCATCACTGGCGGAGGTTCATATACATTGTAGTTAGTAGTTAGTAGGCAGCTATCAAACAGGGAGGTACTATCGCCTGGGAAGATATTGGAAGCATAATGTGTTGTCTAATGGTAGACCCTGCTGCCATATGTGACCAAGTCCCAGGTTGCTGATCTGACTTTCTTCCTCATTTACACGCAATTGCAGGGTCTCAATTGTTTCTCTTACCATTGACAACACAACATACATATAGCGTTTCTCACTCTTTATTATTATTATTATTATTATTATTATTATTATTATTATTATTATTATTATTATTATTATTATTATTATTATCATTATTATTATTATTATTATTATTATTATTATTATTATTATTATTATTATTATTATTATTATTATTATTATTATTATTATTATTATTATTATTATTATTACGCCCCCCAGGCCCCGATGTGAACCAGTGACCTGTACCCGGGTGGGCTAATCCCCGTAAAAAAAAAAAAAATCAAATCATTCTGGAACCAGTACATGCCCAGTACTTTCCAACAGGCTAAACAGGACGGCAAGTAGCTTAGTTTTACATCTCTTCAATTGCACATCACTGAAGCTTAGGGACCTGAAATGTGTTAAAACAGAGTCAGACGTCTTAAAGAAACGCTTAGATATTAAGTTGACCAGCGTACCTGACTGACCTCCTATACCTGGATAAGAAAATTACAGCTCGTCTACTTTGCATAGTAACTGGAGAAGAGCTGTAGCCTTGAAACAGCAGAGGTCCATCTTACAAGCATCAGTAACTCAAGGCATACGTTAATGTTATTATTGTGCTTCAAACTCTATGGTATTTAAACGGGTAATAAGATTGGTAATTTCATCAATCCAATAATAATTAAAAACTCTGAGGGATACGACCAAGCTAAGGGAAATCATAGAAAATGGTGAATTAATTTGTCAAAGAAAACGTTGGGGATCGATCAGCTGCTCTTAGGTAACCAGCTGTTGTTCTCGAGTGTCAACCAGCTGTCAAGATTGCACACGAGGCATATAAAGGACAGGTGAGGTAGTTGGTATTTATGACAGTACTACAAACCAAGACATTACCGACCGATAAAAAAATCTCATGAAGACTGTAAATTAATGTTAGACTGTTCAAAATTATAGAATCTCTCTACGGTAATAATGCTTTAATAAACTAGTTGGCCATCTGAGGTAATGATGGAAATATACAACTTACCTGTCTTATTAAACCTCATTATCTTATCAGGGTTTGATTGTTTTTGTTTGAATTAAAAAAGGTAAAGAATCTGCTCTTTATGGATATTTTTCAATTGGAATTTCACAAGAACTTCGTATTTTAATGCATAGAATACACATTGATGAGAGATGGACTGTGTTGTTAATGGTTAGGTTAGGTTAGGTTAGTTTGTTAAGTTAGGTTAGATAAGTTAGAAAGAAGGCCATTTTACTAACTATCATTGTATAGTCTGCCCACCACGCATGCACATTAGGCTGCTTTACCAATAGACATTGTATTCTGTGCATTACATTAAAGTTATCATACCAGTACATATATTAGTAAAGATCCCTTGGAGATAAAATAAAGTGGTAACCCTCTCTTTAACCTACTAAATATTTGAATCATTTACTTGAAATATGTACAGTGAAGATTGACAAGATTAAGATAAGAGTACAGTACAGTATTAACTAGTGTAATCTTTCCAGGTTTGGATGTGGGCTGCAGCTATTGGGGGGTTGCTGGCTGTATGGTGTGTGAGTGCAGTGTGGGGATGGGGCAGCGATGGAGGAAGCCTTGGGGTGGTGCTTCCCCTCTCACTAGTTGTGGGGGGCATCTCAGCCATGGTTCTGGGGGCTACCCTCACTATTGCAGCGTACGTGATGCTGTCGGCCAAACACCAAGTGACAGTCAGAGTCCCTCCAGAAATATCGGCTCTTCATACACTTATTGCCGTATGTATGATGTTGGTTTTGAAATATATTACCGGTATGTTACTTTTTATTCTCTTTTTAAGATTGTATATATTATTGCATAACACAATTAATATTAAGTAATACCGTACCTGTATCGCTTAACATAGTTCACACAAGAGAGATACTGAGGAATATTTGATATCATTTATGCAGACAAAAATTGGTTTTAAAGTAATACAGTACAGTGTATTCTGTATGCAGTGCTGTGCTGTAATTTACTCATTATTACTTAAAATTTTGCCTGGTAAAGTACAAGAATTATGTTTTTGTAACAGAGTGAGTCAAACATCCAGCATACAGTACAGATTTATAATGGATGAATTACAGGTGTTTTGGAAGTGCTAACTATTATTATATTATTATGGTGCTACTGTATCATGGTTAGCTTCCTCTAATATAATTGAATAAAGACAGTCATAGTATGATTCTAGTTATTCTCTCCCATTGTTCATTTGTACCCCAAGTTTAACGTACTTTTCCTTTCTCACTCTGTGTGCTCTTAACTGTGCAGCAAGATTCCAAATTGAAAAGTGAAATGCCAAAATTCTTTTTTGGTAGTCACATTATTGTACAATTCATTAAAACAGTTTGATTAACAAGGACAGTCAGGTTACAGTAATTATAAGTTGACTGTCTAATACCTGTATTGATTATCAGGAAGCAGGGACTTGCCAATGCTGTATGCAGGTCTGAGGAAAGGTATATCCTTTGAAGAATAGAAATAATGCATACTCAGGAAAATTGCAGGTGTAGCAAGAAGCAGTACAGATATCCAAGAGTACAGGTGACTAGGTTAAAATTGCAATATACTGTATTTACTCCACTGGAAATGAATGTAAACACAGAACAGATTACTGAATTGGCAGACTAGCCCATCAGCTAATCAGCTAATGCTCACAACAAAACGTGTTTGTCGTAAGGATTTCATTAATCAAAGTTTTGTTCGTTAACCGAATTGAAGATCCTTATGGGAGGTAATTCGTTAACCGAAATTTCGTTAATCGAACCGTTCGTTAACCGAGGGACCACTGTATTTTATTTATATGCTGTACTAGAATATGAAATTGATTTCTCTGTGACTAGTATTCTATGCTTGTTTAGAAAATACTGTATCCAGTATACAGTACTGTACTGTATACTATGACACTACAGTATTTTAACCTTGTTTGGAAAATGCTAAATATTTCCTATACCGGTACTGTACTGGTGGCATTTAGATGTATGATGTAGATATTTAAGGTCTTGTAGAAGGATGTATCATAGGAGCACATATATTATACAGGTAGTTATAAGAATGAAAATATGACAGCAAATTAAGGGAATTTGTGTGTGTGTGTGTGTGTGTGTGTGTGTGTGTGCATGTGCATGTGTGTGTGTGTGTGTGTGTGCATGCAGAAGTGGAGCTTGAAAAGAGTGAAAAAATGCACTTCTATAGTACAGTACTATATGTCTTTTAGATGTTTAAAAATATTTTATTCTGTCATACAGAGTGTCCGCTGTGATGCAGAAAGCTCCTTGCCCACAAGACATGGAGCTGTCATTAGTCGTAAAATTGACGGGGCCATTAATGAGTTAATTGATGGATTCATTGAAAATGATGTGACTCCATGGTATGCTAGCCTGGTTAATGATAGCACCCCAAGCATTGAAGCTCTGAGGTAAGCTAAACTGTGGTCTCTTACTTTTTGAATAACCGTAGAACATAATAGACTTACTAATTCAGAAGATCTGGCCAGATAGAATATACTGTATTTTAATTATTTTCATTTTGTATAGACTTGGTAAAGGCAGGAACATACATAAACAATCCATATGAAATTATTGTATACACTGAATTTATGAATACTCATCTTAGTCATTAAGATAACACCTTAACTGCTGTACTACAGTATAACCGACTGACAGATCCTTTGAAGCAACTAAAGGGCCTGATGCATAGCTTTTTTAGAATACAGTAAGGAAAACAGGGGAGAGTTAATCAGCTGTGGCTGTCCTCTCTAGCAGTCTAGCAATCTGGAATAAAATATAGGAGACAGTAACCTTGGCAGTGTTAGTGCTGATGTTGGAGTCATAGCTCTAATGATACCACAAGCCTTTAGGGGCAGGGATTCGTGAATAGTACAGTATACCCAGTTGGATTAACAAATTAACCCTGGCTGATATTATAGAGGGCTGATCACAAGGACATGAGGCCCCAGCAAATTGTTTGATGTTTGGAAAGCAGATAGACTAATGGTTTTGGCAGAAAAAGGGATTTTAGAATCTCTCTTCCATTTCTCCAAATCTGTTGAACCTACACTTGAATATCAAAGCATATTTCAGTTTCTGTCCACGATTGCAGGAGTGTTTTGTGGTATAGTGTCGTGAACATCAATGAAAGGCTGGCTCATATGGATCAAGTACGCTTTGTCACAGGTGGTGCAATTAACTGTCTTACACGTCACCTTGAGAACATTAGGATTGCTCAGACTGCAGGGTAAGAACCTGATAATATTTGTTTATGAAAAAATATTAAGCTTATGTGATTTGATATTAAGCAAGTTGATATTGTAAAAATCATTGAAGTCTTTTACAAATGTAGATTTAATTCCATGTTCATGATGCTGTTTATCATTAAGGGCTATCAGGCAAATGGACTTACCAGTAATGTGAATTATAAAGAAATATCTTAAAAATTTTTACTTTGTAGGGAAGCTCGAGGAGAAAGAGGTGTGTTCCATTTAGTTCCTCAATTGAGTTCCCCAGAAAGAGAAAGAAATTTTCTTCGTCTGGTGGCAGAGCTACTTATTTCTCGATGCCTTCCATCAGAATACTTGCGGTGTACACCATTGCGTACACTTCTCAAGGAACTCCTGGCCTGTAAAGGTTTGTACATTGTACACTTCTATGTTTTCCAATTTCATGTTGAGTATAGTAGATGAGTGCAGTGTGTTTTATACAATAGAATTTATTAGTGAGAGATTAAGAGTAATTGTTCACTACTGTATTTTAAACATGATAAATTCTAAAATTTATCTTGTATGTCCACTTGATTATACAGTGAAAGATGGCCCTGTAACCCTGATGGCCCATTAGGGGCAATGCAGAAACAGCATTTTGTAGACTAAACCATTCTTTGGTACATGAGAAGATAATTTGCCAGCACTTCCCCAACTATATGGCTAAGTCATACTGTAGTAGGAAGTTATTGTCAGTGATTTGTGTAACATTTAATTGACAATTAATGTTGGTGCAATAGGTTCAGTTTAGGAGAAATAGGTAGAGTTTAGAATAATTTATACCACTTACGTGATCACTGCTACTTATACTTAAGATGGATCCATTAAGGATGTGGCAAAAATTGAAGTGTCCTTATGCTGGAAAGATTTATTAATATTTTCAGTTTTTGAACCATTGATTGATCGAGTGTGTGACCCAGACTGGATCAATCAGAGGCTAGTTTCATACCTGAGACAACAACATGCAGCAGAAGAGCTTCATCGTCGCACTTACATGTATGCTGCGAGTTACGAAGATTTCATTACACTCATCCATGATTCTACTGATATTCATGACCTTGAGCACCTCAGGTAATGTACTGTATTGTCTTTTTGAGACATATGCTACCATTGAATCTTGTTAGATACAGTATAAGCTATAATTTAAACTGCATATCAGAAGTACTACTTGTACTTATTTACTTCTACATAATGTTGAGTTTCCACCATTGTTTTGCTTTTTGCTATAGTATTTAGCATAATATTGTTTTTATAAGTTTAATTTCTTTCTTACTTTATTTTGTATTATGTTAAACTGATTGAGAATGGAACATCCCTTCAGTCCACTACAGACTCTTGCTGTAAGATTAATTTACTCCTTAATTGAAGTTATTTTACAAAGCTAAAAAATCTACATTTATCTTAAATGTACAGTACATTACTCTAAATGTATATGTATGCTTTAGCATATGGCTTATCACTATTCTGTGGTGCTTCTCCAGACTATACTTGAATCAGAGGCAAGCAAAACAAATCCAGTACATATTGCCTCAATTGCAATTGAGTGGCAGAAATTAATCATAATTTTAGTCAAACATTTGCACAACTTTGTATAGTTACAGTACTGTCCTTGAGTTTACAATTTTGTTGTGGAAGGAAAGCCTATTATTTGGATAGTGGTGCAAGCATTATAATACAGTACAGTATGCAAATCTTGTATCCTTATTTTTAAGATGTGCTGGATAGTAAAAACAAAAATATTGATAACATAATGAGTACCGGTTCATTCTTGGAAGTTTTGTATTAAGATTACTGTATAGTTTTCTGTTCATAGTATTAGACTAATAAGTTGATGGTTGAAGTAATGACAAAAAGGTGTTTAGAAATGGGAAAGCCAGTGAGGTCCGTGCCAGTAAACCATCCTTAGGAGCCTGCTTTTGCCAGAGGGCTTTGGTATGGCCAAGGTCCACACAGATCAAGATTGATGGACCAAGATAGATTGTATCCAATCACAAGAACTGGCTTTGGGTGTTTAACCTTCTGCATCGCCTCTGCTTATCATAAGAAGCCAAAGTGCAATAGTTGTAATAGTGCTGAAAGCTTATTCGTTTGAGGCATTTGTTCCATCCCACTAATTTGAAACATAATGGGCTGATCTATTGATAGAGAGAAAGATTGTAGTTGTGAAAGACTGTGAAGAGATTGATAGAAAAAACTACTGTATCATGTTACTGAAGTTAAAAGGAATTTAGAAGTACAATTACAGCAACTACACATGACAGATAAGAGTATAGACATGTCTCTTACCTTTTTAATTAGGTGAGTTCTAGATGAAAGCTGTGTTTTAGTTTCTCATTACACATTGTTGTGTTAAGTCCATTAAATTGTTGATTATTGTAGATTTAAAAATAAATGGTTTCTTAGAAATTAAACTGTAGCTCATATATGAACGACTAAATAGTAAAGCTTTATATATACTGTACAAGATTTCTCTGAGACTAATAATGTACACAAGCTCCAAAGTGTATCTGTGACTTTGTGTTAAGTAGTAAAATATAAATAAAATAATGGATGCCCCTCGTGTAACGAGTATGGCCGGCCCAAGAGCCACCGAGGCGTGAATTTGTTTAAGGTGTAGAAGCTGTCGCCAACACAACAACCACACCCTGAGTTAACGAGTTACATGACCCAGTGTCAAGGAATAGTTCGAGAAGACCGATCAACTCGCCAACTGCACTGGCTAACCATTACCCCGGAATACGATCCACAAATCGATTAACATCCAGGTTCCCAATTACTGCTGGGTATACAGAGGCAAAGGCAAATGGCGTAAAGAAACTTGCCCATAGATTCACCCTGCCCGGGGATAGAACCCAGGTCCACTCGGTTGCGAGGCAAGCATGCTGACCATTACACCACAGGTTGCATATTTACACCATAGGATTTTGACAACCCTACCAAGACAACAGGAGTCACAGTGTTCATAATGAAATTCATTGGACCCCTCCACAAAGATATTTTTTGGAGTGTGTGTACAAAAACCTACTTAAACTAAATCAGGTGTTACTCAGTAAAACAAGCTTTATTATTGTTAGATTAGATATTGGTTAAATATGGTTAATCTAACCAGGATTGAATAGAACCTTTGTTATAGTATAGTTCAAATCTTCCCTGATTCAATATATATTTTCTGTACCTACTTAAGCTAAATAGTGCTGGCACAGTTTGCTGACATGCACAATTTTATAAATATACACCTATGTAAACAGGTATGTTTACTGTATATATTTAATGTGCTTCCTATAAACATGCACTATAAATGCTTTTATGGCTTATATTTTATATGTTTTTAATGCAATATGTTTTGTCCTCACTTATGTGATCCATTCTTAACCACTTTTTTATTAGTATTTATTTTAATTTATTTACAATTATTTTTCAAGATATTTAATTTAACTTATACCTCTAGTTATTTGGACATTAATAGATTGTGCTGTTTTGAACTTAAAATTTTCCATATGAATTGCAGTATTATATTAAAAGTTTTCAATGCATTTGGAGAGGGCATTCATGTCCATTATTTCAATACACTTTGTTTATTTTTGTTTGTGTGATGGATATGATGTTCTACTATTGCCTTTGGCCTTTTATAGTACACTATCAAACTTTCTTTTCATGGTAGTCTGTGACCAAGTGAAAATTTTGTTTTTATTTGTCAGCTTTGACAACTTCTTAGAGTTGGTTTTAGCCTCTGAAAGCACGGAGGAAATGCTCAGGATAAGGTGAGGGCACACTTTCTTGGCGTCCATGTGCAGCTTTGCCTAATTGCTGTTCAAAATGCTTCTTCCTTTGCAAAGGGCCGGTATGGCTGTAGGTCTCTCAGAATGGTTCTGGTTGCCTGGTATATTTCTCATAATTTGCCCCCATAACATGCTTTTTAAAACAGATATCTTTTGTTATGCCCTGGCCATCAATGTGGTTGTGGCATATAGCATTACCCTTGTCCTTCTGTACATCTTTCACAAAATTTTGTGTGTGCAACAAGTTATTCAGTTTTCAGGGGATTCATCAAATATTTGATGGACTTTATCATCTGTGTATGAAGATGCACTCCTTATTCTGGGGTTAATTGGTGAGGGTTTGTCATATCAGTAAACCCTCCCAATGCAAGACTAATACGTAAGTGCAAGCCCTCTCACTTATTGGGAGGATTCACTTTATGGGAAGGTTTAAAATTTTCCCCAGGTATACATATAATAATACAATAATATTGTCACACATCAATCTCAACCATCAAAATGAACATTTTATAAGGTACACTTGAGTATAAGAAAGCTGATATACTGCACTGGGTCACGGAGTTCTTGTGTCAAATTTTGGGAGAATTTCCTTCTTTTTATTTTGATAGAACCTTTTTATGCTTTCTTTATGCACTACTGTAGTCAGTATCATCACTTTTGTGTTTGTTTTGAGACATTTTAAGGGCAGTATGGCTGTGTCAGCCAAAGAAATGTCCTTTATTGAGAACATCCCTTAGTGAGAATTTCCTTATTGAGAGGGTTTACTGTAGCATGAACACATTTCTATTTCTTTGTTGAAATTTGAAAGGCATATAAAAAATTATACTGAAAAATGAGGAAGTGATACATAGATACTTTATTTATCGCTCACACCTAAGGTCAATCATTGGTGCTTGGCAGAATAGGTACAGATGGCAGTATGAAACTTCAATGACCTTTTAGTCATTAATGCTTTCAAGGGCATGAACTAGTAACTGCTTCTTACCTGGGGAATGTTTTCCCATTTTATAATATTGTACCTGTGCCAGATGGGTATTATTCAGTAGAGTATATCTTTGTTTTCCCTCTTTGTGGGAAACCTGTGTGAAACAGGTATTGATTAGTATATCTCTTGGAATTGAGGTCAGACTATCCATAGGTGAAAGCTAGTGTACTTTCACGAATTTTGAATGTTTACAGAATAAGATTGGACAAGATGAAAAATATACAGCATTGATGGTTAACTTTTCATGATAATATGGTGTTATTTGCATTGTTTTATATCACAGGACCATAACAAGTCCTGAAAGTTGAATGGAAAAAAATTATTACTCAAGTTCATTGAATAAGTTTAAAGGCATTTTCCAAAAGTTGTGCAGCTGGATAGGTTACTGAATTTTATCAAAATTACGTACTGTCCCTTGTGAATAAACAGAAAACTATTTTGACTTTTTTAACAGAAGTTGCATGAGTTTTTTGTTATGCCTCTAACTCTTTTTTCCTAAACTGCTGTTAAGTTGAAAAGGTTTGCATGAAATTATTGGGTTCAAAGGGTTTTTAGATGAAAGAAAACAGTAGAATATAACTGGAATAGCTTCCAGTAGTGTCATACATTACTATGGCAGTATCAGTAGCTTGCCTTCTCTGTGTTTGAATACTTTTTGTATATTTTGCTAATTTTAATAAAATAAATTTGAAAATGCATTTCTTCAGTCTGTAAACCAGTGACAGGTACTGTAATTAATTATTTATGCAATCTGTTATAGTTAATAATAAGAGTATGAGTGATAACTAATGACACTTGGTATGTGTTAATTGTAATTTTATAATTACATATACATGTAGTGTACTGTTCATAGTTATGATGATCCAACATTAACATATACTGTACCCTTGTTAATTCAGATAATTATAATTTGGATTTTGTCTTAATTTATGTACTGTATTAAAAAAATATTAATTAAACAATCTGAATTCAGAAAGAATCCAAAATAACAGAGTGGTTTCAAAAATTCACCTTGGCTGCCACATAAAATATTGTACTGTATTTATAATTACCTAACTATGCAAATATAAATATTTTTCAAATGTACATACTGTATTGTACAGTAATAATAAAGTAAATACTGTGCAGTAATAATAAATGTATCACTTACGGTACATTGTGGGGTGAGCTGATAATATGTACAGTGTAGATGATACTGTATTCCAAAAGTGTAATGGTCATGCTGGTAAATATGACTTTTATCTCAGACTTGGAATTAATGAGATTAATAATTAAGTACATCCAGAAGAACAAAAAAACATCACCTTGGAAACCCATAGTTGGCAAGCACAGTTATAAGCATTGTGAAAAATGTCATTAAAATTTTCCAAAGTGTCATTAAAGCCACTAATTCCCTCACAATTGAATTGTCTATCATAGATTCAAAATCACCATGGTCAGGAGTACATATACTGTACTGAGATTTTTAACAAAACCTAATTTTGGGCTGTTACGGCCAAAACTGTTAGCCTAATGGTTTTTAAGAACATTTTGACAATATATATACTGTACAGGTACTGTTCTGTCGGAAGTGCAATTTCACAGGTTTAACTATTAAGTACAGTACGTACTTCCAGAGTAATACAACAAATACTAAAAGTCACCTCGGAAACCCATAGTTGGCGAGTAATAACATTGATAAAATATTAAAAAAAAAAAAATATTTGCTTGCAGAGTACAGCACGTAATTACAAATATAATATTTTTTGTGACAGCTGAGGTATGGCTACTGAGTATGTTTGATGGTTGGAATAATGAGGAACAATCTGAACAAAATGAGCAGAAAACGAACAAATAATTATCGAACACAAAAAATTGGAATAATGTAAAAATTATTCTGAACTCAAATTTTTTGGTAATTCGAGTGACATATACGGTAGCCTTCTTTTTGTTGAATTAACGAGGGTATGTTGTACATGCATGGTGTTTTTGTGTACCTTTGACGTTTGCAATCCTTCTGAACCTGTGAACTTATTCCACTTTTAGAGTTGGCAACAGTTTGAGATTATAAGCTTCTCTTAGTGCCTCAGGAATATGAATGACCCCTAAACCAGTTGTCTAAGTATAACACACTGCAGTACCATACAGTACAGTACTGGGGGGGATTAATTGTGTAAATGAGTTCTGTGAAATTTTGCTGATGATCACTGGGCTGTGTCTTAAGTTTTACAAAGAAGCACTGTGTGGGATATACAGTACAGGTGGCCGATCAAAAATCCGGCAACCTCGGGACCTGGGGAGTGCCGGATTTTCGAAAATGCCGGAAAACTGATGGTTATATTTGCTGTACAAGTTTAACAGAAAATGACTACCTGTACAGTCCTTTAAACAAAGAAAATTAAACACTTAAGTTAGGATAATATAATTGACATTGCTGGATTCCTTGTATGACCAGGAATATTTTGAATATAAATTTCATATATTTTGCACAAAAGATAACATATTTACTCAGAGTAAACATTTTATCTAAAATTTGTATGTCTAATGCAAAATCTATGATGTTTATATTCAAAATGATCATCAAATTGTAAGAATTCCAGCAATGTAAATTATATTCTGGCCGGGTAATTTGTATGAATTTTATGAGCTAAAACATATATCTTCATTAAATAAACAAAGAAATATTTGAAAATGCGCTCCGAAATCCATGCCTGAAAACTGAAGGTTCCGGTTTATCGGTTGCCGGATTTTTGATAGGCCACCTGTAGTGTACAGTACAGTATATGATGAGAGAGAAGGGGCAGCAAGAGACAAACATTGTACAGTAATTAATTGGGTAATGATGATGTGATGAGTTGAAGTTATATATGAGAAGAGGACGTACCTGTAAAATAAAGACTGCCTGGGATAGTGGAGGATGGTGGACAATGGGAGACACTGTGTCCTTGGAAACAGGGGTTATCAGAAAACTGGAAGACAGTAATAGTTGAAAGATCAGAGTTGAACCTTGACTGCCAGGCTGAGTAAGTTCATGCTCTTAATAATTTTCAAAATATTCATAGCTTTAATACATTTCATATCCTTGTTTGCACCAAGTCACAGTAAGTGTTACAATAAAGGCTACTACAGGTGTATCAGATAACAATTATAATTAGAAATACTGAACAGGATCAATTACCTTCACAGGTGATGTGTTAGATATAACTTAGTGTACAGTACATAACACTTTACCTTGCATATAATTATTTCTATTGTAATTGTCTGTAAATTTAACTAGTACAGAATTTTTTTTATTTGATGTGATTTACACCCTATTTTTATCTGTGCATATAATTTTTTTAGTTTCATTACTGGCTGTATAATTCATATGCATGTACTGTAATGTGATTTTCAACAACATCTAATTTTGGGCCAAAACTGTCGAAAATGTAAGTCTTACACCTTAGTAATTTTTTGACCAAAATATACTTTTCTCTCAGAATTAAAATTTAAGGGGTTTAACTAATTAAGTACTTACAGAATAACACATTAACACCAAAATCCCACTTAAGAAACCCATAATTGGAGATAAATTAGTATTGAAAAATGTCATTAAATTTTCCAAGCGTAATTACAGTACAACTACTAATTACCCCGCAGTCAAATCGTGGACCTCATATTCAAAATCACAATGTTCAGGAGTACCTATACAGTACTAGTAAAGATTTGTTTTTATATATTTCTCTAAATTTCGGTTTGTGTACGTAGATTACAATACCTGTACTGTACCGTATAAAGTTATTCATTCTCCTTCTTCAGTGCATGCATGTGTTATGTTTGCATAAGAATGTTTAGTAGATATGTTTTCAGTACATAGTGTGCATGGACTGATACTTTTTCATATACTGTACTACTGTATTTAGGTATACAATGTGATCTCTTGAAATTACAGTATGCTGTACTATTATCTGTATGTTTGTGTTTGTTTTTTTGTATAATAGATCATGGTTTTCCTCATGTTTTTTTTTTCTAAAAGTAGTCAAATTTTTAGTTCTTAATTTTTCAAAGAGCAATTTTTGAAGTAGTTCTTTGTGAACTTACCTCTGTGCATATCAGAGCATAGACTTTTTAAGTGCTGTCACTGTAATAGTATATGTCTTACTCCTGATAGTATTATGTTAAAAAATTTTGGTACAGAACAACATACAGATGTGAAGATTTTTATATGATTGAATTTGTGCAGACGAAACATAATAAATGAGATAATGCAAGCAACTGCCATCAACAACCTGAAGAAAGCCAAGGGGGTCGATCTGAGTCGTGAAAGTACACCACAAGGATCTGGAAAAGGGGACTTGCTTCAGGTGTGTGAATTTTTTTTTAATATCTTTTTATCCACCAAACCATACTAATATACATGTTACTTTTCAATTACCTTTCTTTGTCTATCTTCATGATATCAACTCTCCCTAACTATTTCCCCTCCCTCTTGAAGTTTTGGTGTTTCTTAATCCACTGGACAGAAAAGTTGGAAGGGGGGAATTAAATTACACCAATTAATGGCCTTCATAATCATGCAGTTTTCTTTGTAAAAATTCTGAGAGACAATTTCCTATTCCAACATGTTAAAGATCCAACTCACTATAGAGGTGAACCAACACTCAAACTGCTGGACCTCATCATAACTAACAAGGAGGGTATGATAGCCAAGATGGGGCATTTAGCCCCCCTGTTGGCACCAGCCATCATGTGATGTCCTTCAGATTTAACTGTTAATTGGTACACGATAAGAGCAGGCCAAGGTTCAATTATTACAATGGTGATCACAGCAGATATGATCAAAATAGGAAGTATCACTTCATATACTCATTTTCACCTTCTTTTGAATTTACTTTAATACCTCAGGGAAATTCATGCATTTGATTGGCTGGCTAGCTATTGTACCTGTATAATCCTGTTTAAATATTCAAATTCAAGTGGGAAAATTTATAATGCAACAGCTGTAAAATCATCCTGGCAGGCATAAGACAAGTTATGTGAATCATACCAAGAGCCTTAAGCTTTTCACATTCACTAACACGGGTCTGTCTCATGTAGCTCAATGTGTCGGTGTATAACTTCCAACATTTGAAATGCATGGGTAGATTTTCAAGCCATTTAATAGTTTTTTGTACTAATGGGGGCACATGTGTTTCATAAATAAACATAATTTCCTTTGAATTCATCTCCTTCTGGTACCTGTATTGATTTGGACCACTGTACAGTACTTGATCTCCACATTATGCAGTGATAGGTATGGCGGTCACTTAAAAATTAAGCATTATGATATACACTATATACTACTGACTCCCTTTTCTTCCATTGCTCTCATTATAGGCTAGAAATCTTAAGCGGTACATCAACCAGCTGACTTACGCAAAAGCCCAGTGTGAACGGCGAATAAGTATTCTGAACACTGGGAAAGTGGCAGTAGAATCAGGCACGTCAGGAGGTTGTGTTAGCAGTTCGCAAGTTACACACAGTTTGTCTGAAACTTTCTCCCACTCTCTTCAGAATCTCCCTGGAAGGAAGGTTGGTTGTTAGTATAAACTATTCTATACCTGTACTGTATTGCAAAGGTAATTTACCCAATACAGTACTGTATTGTGACAGATTTTTTCCCCCCCACAACTTCTGAATGGAGAGATATTCATATTTATTCATATGCATGTCTTTATTTGGAAATATCAATACTGTACTGTTTTAGTGATTCCTACAATTTGGTAAGATCAGAATAGTATGCTGTATTTGCCTTTGATTTCGTACTGTACAGAACAAAAATAGTGGTACAGTCAGTTCTGCTATAACGCGATAGTTGTGTTCTTGTAAAATATCGTGTTATAGAAAATCGCGTAATAGAAATAACAGGGCTTATGGAGAAAATAGGGTTAGGTGCAGATTACACGAAATCGAAAAAATTTAGTAGTTAGCCTAACACAAAGGATAGCACAGTCTAAATAAATGTTACATTCATATCTAATAATGAAATCATACAGTAAATGTAACACTTTACCTTGAAAAAATATGAATGTAACTTGATGGGGGAGAAGGGTGATTTTGAGGTTGATAACATCGAGCTTCTCTTCAAGTGTTATATCCTTTCTTTTACGATCATCACCGGGAATTCGGTCACCAGAACGCTTCTTGGAGATATTTTTCTTTACCATATTCACAGTTAATACCACAAAATTGGAGAAATAGTAAGCGAAAATCGCGTTACAGCAAACAAGCGTTCGCGTTATACAAATATCGTTCCTCTATTCATAAATCGCGTTAGAGCAAATTCGTGTTGTCAAAACATGCGTTATAGCAGAACTCACTCTACCTTAAATCTAGGCACGCAATTTAGATACGTATAAGATTTATAATCTCAATCATTTGTATTTGGCAAAATGTTTATCGTTCTTCAGACTCATCTAAAATACACAACATGTACTGTACTACTGTACTGTACTGTATATATTTCAAAAATTTTATCTCATCCAAAACTGTTTGTTCTAGATTCTTATGTTCCAAGCACTACTTGAGTCTGCTTTTGCACGTCGCTACTTCTCAATTTATCTGGACGAGATTGGACAAGGTGCACTTATCAGTTTCTGGTCTGCAGTCCAAGAAATTCGTCATGCAGACAAGAAGTTGCACCACCAGTTAGGAACAGAGATCTACTATACTTACCTCAGCCCCCATCCTCCACCAGTCAAGGTTGATAAGGTAGAGTCAACAATTCCAACCTTCTTCAGTCAAGATTGATGGAGTCGAATCAAAGATTATCTTTACTTTCTTTGATGAAGAACTTAGGACTGACAACATAAGTCTTAACTACATCTCTGTAAATTACTTAGTTTTATGTATTTATTTATTAATTAATTTTTTGTTTATTTATCTATTTTTTAATTATTTTTCATAGAGAAATACAAATATTCATGTACTGTACTCTTGAAATGATGGCAACAATGATTTATATTACAGATTTTAAGTAGATCCCTTTACTGTATTTTGATGTTTGAATATTTTAAAACTAATTTGAAGTTCATATTTTTTCTGACCTAACTCAGATGACTCTTGTAATAATCAGCTAAGTCTGTGGGTGAAAACAGTACTTACCTAGATAATGTCAAAGGTGCTCATTGTCAGTCTCAGTCTCAGGCATAAGATTTTTGCATTTCAAGATGATTCTTTTTAGTTTGAAAGTTGTTATGAGAATTTTAATAAAGATCTCTGGGATTATCTAAAAGATGCTTCAAAAGAAAGTCTACATGGATGATTGACTTGTTGAGTTCTTATGTTTAGAAGATTTTGTTTTAAGTTTTAGTCCAAGTGTGGAGCTCCTTGTGTATCTTGTGATTGTTTTCCTCCTTTTACATTGTGCTTTGCCTTTACCTGATCTGTACAGATTTGCCGTGAGCTTAATGGTTCAAGAAGTGCAGGGTGGGTTTGACTATGGTCACTCCTGTTTACCAGACCAAGACTTATGAATCATATGTGGTACTGAAGGAGTTTATAAGGCTGGGTAACTACTGTACATGTTTTTTCCTGCTTTAGGTAGAGATACCTCCCACTGTGGGGTGCATACCCATATTAACACTTGGAGTACTTTTCTTCTTCCCTTTTTTCTTGCTGACTTCAGATACACAAGTATCTGAACCAGGGTTTATTGGTCATAAGTGGAGGTTTGGCCCTGAAGTCCCTTTTCATAATGAAGTCTGGATCAAATGATTCATAGCCTTCTTTTTCCCGGGGAGTCACCTTGAAGTTGATTAGAAATACAATTGATCCTGAAATCCTGGTCTATATGGCAGGATATGCACTGTAAGTGTGGTTTCATAACTCAACAGCCTCCTACAGCAATACCAGCTAGCATTGTCTGGATAAACCTATGTTTTCACCCTATAGCTTTTCTGTGCATTATATGATTCTTCCAAATTATCTGATCTAAGTTTGGTCAAAAAGAAGAATTTCAGCATCAGCCTTCCAACCTTTTCCATCTATGGTGTTGGGTGGCCAGAATTATGAGCAACATACAGTAGACTCTCCCATCTCTTTGTGGCACTCATTCTCCCTAGCTCCTGTACCAGAAATTTGTGTTAAGTGTTTAATAAGAGTACAGGGAGTACTTTATTTTGTGCAGCCAACTCTTCGTGGTGTGGAAGCCTTTCTTTTGGGCAACAGAGGACCTGAAGTTTTATACGAAATTGGAGAGGAGGTGGAGCGGACCTTAGAGGAACGTCACTACACTGGTTTCTTGGTATCATCCACATACCATGCAATGCTTCATCAAGCTGCACTCCAGGGTGTGGACTTCATGACTGAGTGTGCTGGTTAGTTCTTTGTTCTGCTATGTTATTAAGTATTGCGTGTAGTTATTTTACACTTCATCCATAATTGTACATCATAAATTCCATTCATACAAGTACTGTATAAGATAAAGATGATGAAGGTAGGCCTTGCTGTGAGTGTATAGAAGTTTTAAGAATTTCAGTTACCTTGGCTAAACTACTTCCACTGCAGTGGTACTCTTGGAGTTTGTATTATGGTACTTTGATAAACCTAAATAAAAAATAAAAAACTTTATAGATTATGTATACTATCCATTTTATTCTCATTTTTATTTCTAACATTTTCATCAGGATCATTGGACATCATGTGTATCTTATGCCCCCTTTTAATTTTTTTAATATTAATGTATTTTTGAAGTATGTATCATATGATGTTTTCAGAGGATGGAGGCCCAGGAAATACTGAAGGAAGCACCACAGAGTCAATAGAGCAGGTACAGATGCAGCTCTCTGATCATTCCACATATGCCAGGAATAAATTGGCACACCTTCAGGAGAGACTCACCAATAAACTCTTAGTGAGTATTTCTGTACTTGGCTGTTTGAAGTGAGAGGGACAACCCAGATAGAAAAGGAACAGTATAAGAGAACACTTTAGCATGTTAGATAGAGACACTGATTGATATATGATGAATAACTGGATCTAACACTTCAGGCACTGCAAGCTTTACGACAAAGTGGGAAAGCTGATGCAAAAGTCATCACACACCTGGAGGGGGATATCAGTCAGCTGCGTAGTGATCACAAACTGCTGGAGACCCACGTTGAGAGAACAGCACTTTGGAGTGACAATATTGGTCGTTGGCGTGTTCATGTCCAGAGTGTACAGGTGAGTGTCTCTTTTAGTTTGTTCATTAGGAAAATGTCACTCTTGGGCCCCACCCAGCAATATGACGTATGGTTTTGTTATTGAATAATGTGGCAGTATTCTCTGTGGAAACAAATTTTAATCAAGCTACAGCACCTCATTAATCATTTGTTTTCTAACTGGCCAATCACAAGGTAAGATGAGAGAAGGAGGGTGGGGCTATTTGACATTTCCATACTGAGCAGACTATAATTATATATATACTGTATATATATATATATATATAGATATATATATATATATATATATATATATATATATATATATATATATATATATATATATATATATACTCCTAAGCATGGTGATTTCGAATATTAGGTTCACGATTCGACTGTGGGGTAATTAGTGGTTGTAGACGCTTGGAAAATTTAATGACATTTTTCAATGCTAATTTATCTCCAATTATGGTTTTCTTATGTGCAATTTTTGTGTTAATGTGTAATTCTGTAAGTACTTAATTAGTTAAACCCCTTAATTTTTAATTCTTTGAGAAAAGTATATTTTGGTCAAAAAATTACTAAGGTGTAAGACTTGCATTTTCGACAGTTTTGGCCCAAAATTAGATTTTGTTGAAAATCACATTATAGGTACTCCTGAACATGGTGATTTCTAATATGAGGTCCACGAATCAACTGCGGGGTAATTAGTGGTTGTAAATACGCTTGGGAAATTTAATGACATTTTTCATTGCTAATTTATCCAATTATGGGTTTCGTAAGTGCGATTTTGGTGTTAATGTGTTATTCTGTAAGTACTTAATTAGTAAAACCCCTTAAATTTTAATTCTGAGAGGAAGATATAGTTTGGTCGAAAAATTTCTAAGGTGTAAGACTTGCATTTTCGACAGTTTTGGCCCAAAATTAGATTTTGTTGAAAATCACATTACCGTACTGTATACTGTACTGAGAATGATTATTATACAGGTAATATGAAATTCACTTCCATGTGAGAGCAGTGCATAAGTGAAAGAAAAATTGTATACTGTACTTCAAAACACTTACTTGTACGTATTTATGTTCCAGCTTGTTGAGGAGAAGGACATCCCCCACCTGGTATTGTTAGTTCACTTAAATTCAGAGGAGGTGAAGACTTCATCATGCCAAGATCTATCCTCAGCATCTGTCCTTACGTCATCTAACTCATCGTCCTCATCATCATCATCTACCTCATCCTCCACTGCCATGGATACCTTTGAGGTCTCTATTGGGAGTTCAGGACCTGCACATGGTTGGGTAATTGTGAGGAAATTGCCACTGCTTACTGACCTTCATAGAAAGTTATGGTAAGATACTAATAAGAGTAAACCACCTGATTTTTTGTTCATCCTTTTCCTTACACTAAGATTAGCCACCCTCCGTAGAAGCAGGTACTGTAGTTTGGTAGAAGGAAAATATGTAGCGAATTAGAAGGCTGTAATAGATTCACACCTTTGTTCATTATTTTTTATCTCTGTATGGAAGATAAGGTTGAGTGTTATCTGTTGCAGCATTTAGTTTAGATTCAGACTTTTAAGAACTTTTCCTTCCTTCTGTGCCTGTCTTAATATCTCCTTGATTCTTCCCAAACAAAGGTGAACCTTCCTTGGGAGTTATTATAGTAATCTCTTCACAGATTCTTATTCCTGAATTTGGAACATTGTGATGTTCTGAAATTTAGAATTGAAATACAGTAGTTAATAAGCTGTTTCTTCCAACTTTTAAGAAATATTCTGAAAATTAACTTGCTATTTCTGCTCAATTCTAAACAAGTTTGATTGTAAATTATGTAATTCATAATCAGTAACTTAGCTAATTATTAGTACAGTGTACTTACCGGGGTAATGTTTGACGGAAATATAGGGCTGTATTTAAAATGTTGATTACACGGTGCCCATAAATTTTAAATCACCTTTATATACATTTTCTTACAAATGTAGATGACAGTAAACCCTTGATAACTCGGCACATATGGGGCTCTGGCCCTGCCGAGTTATCCCAAATTCCGACTTATTGAGGCACTTTCCCCATCCTACAAAAATACAATAAAAAATTATCAACCCATATATGTGTACTGTACATGTAATTACTAAATGTAGAAAGTAACACTTACCAGCACTGCAGGCAAAGAATGAAGCATTATAGTATAGTAGGTGACACAGAGGTATGTCATTTGATGTAAAAAATATGCCTGACCTTGTTTTTTCACCATTTGAGTTCATGCCATGGATTTTGTTTAGATTTCATATAGAAGCACTAATTTACATGCTGATTAAGGATCTGGGTTTACAATTTGAAAATTTGAGTAATTAGTGTTAATTAATGACTTTTGGAATGATTAAAGATACACATTGTGCCGCTAAGAGAGCACAGGCTCTCAATTGGCTCGGCCATGTCAATATTGTTATTATTATCCACTCTGTATCTGCATTTTTCTGGCTAAATATACTGCAGCCCATTAAATCATGAGCAAATGTTCTTTAAAGTTTTGTGATGCCCAAAGGATTGTTAGATTTCATGGCTTATTTTTGCTTTGCAGCCAAATTGCCCCTTGGATGAAAGCAGTAGAATTACCTAATGTACCTGGCAAGATGCTATTTGGGAAAGTTGCTGACAAGGCTCATCTGGAGAAAGTACGTGTTGTGGCACAGAACTATTTTGATGCCGCTCTGAATGACGAAAAACTCTCTGGCTCAGAGCTCATATATGCATACCTGTCACCTTCACCGGAGCATCTAAAACAAGCAGAAATACAGAAAAAAAAATATAAGTTTTCCTTTTCTACATTTTTTAAAGGGTAATATGCTCTTGTTTTTGCATTCTCATGGGTTCAATAACTTCTTTCTTTTTAATCTTCTTCCAGATTCAAACTACAAAGAGGGGAGGAAGCTACTGTATTTTGTTGTTGTTTTCTGTAATTCTTTAGTATTCTCTTGTGAATTTTCTCACAAACATTTTCTCTGAAAAGTATGATAGTTCTATACAATAATTTGTTCTTCAGCTGTATATCTAATTCTAAGGGATTCATTTAAGAGAGAGTTCTGATTCTATAACAGATATTCTCAGGAGTTGATGAGGCAACAAACACCGATGGTTTTTTTAATATCTTTGGTGAGGAGAATAATGTGGGTTTTTTAGAGAAATGATTACCTGTTAGTAACCTACCCTAACCACCAATATAGGTTACCTTCTTACCAGCTATAATCTTTTTGAAGCTCAGTATGAATGTTGAGGTTATCTTGAAGTACTAGGGGCCATTCAAAATTACGTAACGCTTTTTTCTACCAAAATTTATACACCCCCCAACCCCCTGTAAGACTCTGTAATACCAAGCCAAACCTCCCTAAAATATTATGTAACACAACCCTGTACACCCCCCCCCCGCCCCCCCTCCTCCTGGACTCACAACACTGCTCCAGATCACACCAACAGCTAAATAATAGGCAGGGGAAGACAAGATCCCTAAAATTCGCACAGAAGTCTGAATTTTCATAAATTTTGTGCAAATTTCCATGGTGCGAATTAGTGTGAAAATGTACTAGGCTCGGGTAGCCGGGTACCGTTAATAATAGGCTTGTCTTGTTCTGTGTGAGGGAGTAGTTATCATCACTGCCATTATATCCATCAAAATAGAATATTGTAAGTGCATATTATGTATAATGTACTTTGGAGGTTTTGTGCTGTGACCATAAACATAAAGTGGGTACTAGATTCCACAGCAAGTAAAAACAAATTTCCCTTCCACAACATGCGGGAATAGTTGTTCGTCCTTGAAAACTGTGCCAGATATCATTTGCTACCATCTAGTGAGAGCCAGGGCAACTACACTCAGGCCACTCAGATGCATCAGCTGATTCTTCCTCATACATGGTGCGCTGAGAGGTAAACAGTTCTGTATTTTCTTGTTATTTCTTTAGGTTTTAAGCCACTTTTGGTAGTTTGTACCATACTTATGTGTTCAGCATTGAATGCTCTATATAAGGTGATATAGTGTTATTTGCCTGACAGCATAAAAAGTTGCTAAAACCCAAGTTTTCTGGCAGTGCCATTCTTATTTGATGTCAAATTTACATGAACAAATTAGAGGCCAGAGCAAGCTTGGCCCCTCCAAATTTGTGTATTTTTCCAACAGTATCTCAAGCAAAATCAGTTTAATTGTACATTAACTCAAAAATTACCTTGGTTTTCTGTAAAGGTAGTCCTAACTTAACACAGTATCTTATACATTTTTAGTTTATATCCTGTAGGACTTTTAGTAAATTAATATTGCAATGAAAAATTGAAAAAATGTCACTAACAGGGTACATAGTGAACACAGTCTGCAAATTTTTAGCTGTAGTTTTAGTTGAATGTTTCTTCTACATGTATAAAACAAATACACATTGGGTATACTTAATCTGACATCATTTTTCTTCTTCCAACAGCTTCCCAAAGATGGAGTACAGAAAGAACAAGCTGACCCTGAAGACAAAGCTGATGATCATAATACAGGGAATGTTGAAACTGTCAGTGTAAAGGAAGTGAAAACACATGTCCCAGTGAAGCAAGCCATTACCTCTCCAAAACAAGACCAGCTGAATCTCAAATTATGTGAACTTCAGGATCATGTCAATGAGCTGTACAATAAAAGGGTTGTGGCATGCTTTCAGATGAAGAACGCAAATCTTTGAAAAAGAAAAACAGAAATTGATGAGTTGAAGAAAGAGCTAAAGAAGACTAAACAGAATCAGAAAAGACAAAGAAAGTTTCGAGAAAATTACAAAAGAAAACTTGAAGAATTGGATGAAGCAACAAGAAAAAAGCTGAAAGGCAATCCATCCTCAACCAAAGGAAGGCCACCAAAGATTGCAGATGATAATTTGTGACATAATGCCATTGTAGAAATAGCAATTGGAGGTTCTGCAGCAGATGAGAAAAGATGCTCTTAAGTAATCAGAACTGTCAAGACTCTGGGTGACTTAACAGCTGCTTTACATACAAAGGGTTTACAATTATCACACAGCTCAGTTTATTTGCGACTACTGCCTAGAAATTCCTCACCTCGAGAGGGAAAACGACATGTGACAACAGTTCTTGTTGAACTAATGAGGTCTGAAAATAGTGCACATTCTAGACATCCAGATACCCTATTTGCTAGAACATCTATCTCTTATCTGGACGAGATTGCTTCTCTACTTGGACCACATGAAGTCACATTCCATTCACAAGATGACAAGGCAAGAGTTCCAATAGGCATTACCGCTGCAAACAAACAGGCTCCTCTGATAATTCATTTGGAATCTAAAATCACTCGGTGACCATGATTTTGTTTTTGCCCCTAAACACAAGCTAATACCATCAGTAATAGCTGGTATTTCAATAAAGGAAAACTGTATTGCAGAACAAGGGGTCACCTATTCTGGTCCAACATACTATAGCCATACGAAGTGCTAAGCACACATCTTCAATTGCAATGGGATATCTGAGAGATATGAAGAAAGTGTGTTCCTTACCTCAGTTTAATGAACAGATGTCTACTCCTGATGGTATGCCAGAGCCAGTCATGATTTTGACAGTAGTTGGTGGTCCTGATGAAAACCCTAGGTATGAAAAAACCATGAAGTGTGCTGTTGATTACTTTTGCACATATGATCTAGATGCTCTCTTCATTGCAACAAATATACCAGGTCGAAGTGCATTTTACAGAGTTGAATGACATATGGCCCCACTTAGCCATGATCTAGCTGGAGTCATCTTACTTCAGGATCATTTTGGAAGCTATCTAAATTCTAATGGAGAAACTGTGGATGAAGAAATGGTGGGGCAAAATTTTGCCCATGCAGGGAAAGTTCTCGCAGACATTTGGTCAGCTACTGTTATTGATGGCTACCCAACAGTTGCTGAATATATTGATCCACAGGAAGGAAATGAATCGGAAATCCTTGAAAAGAGTCCTTCCTGGTATGCAAAACATGTGAAAGAGAGTCAATATTTTCTTCAGGTCATAAAATGCCAAGATACAGCTTGTTGTAATGCACCAAGAAGTTCTTACTTTTCAGTTATTACCAACAGATTCTTGCCCTCACCACTTCCCCTTGTACAGACAGCAGATGACTTATTATGTTGTCTTGATGATTTGAGTGCCAAATATCCACTGCTCTTTGTCAATCTACCATATGATTTGGCATGTCCTAATCTGAAGAATGAGCCACAGAAGCTCATCTGTGAAACATGTGACAAATACTTTGCCTCAGTCAAGTCCATGACTTCACATTTTAAGAAACACTGCTCGAGTCGCAGTAGCCATTCTGTTGTGAGTGCTCCAACAGAAAGGCTAGGGACCTCAAAGACTAGCTGCCAAGCGACAAAGGGAATTCATGTGTGTTGTCAAGTACCTGGAAACAGAAGAGTATGAGCGGCACATGGAGGAAGAATTGGATACTGAGACCAGGGCTAACAAAAGAACATCAATCATGACTGTGCAAAGTAGAGAACCAGTGTGGCAGGAAGACTGTTAGATCTGGGACAACATACATGAACCACCCCTGGACACTTAAATATTTAGACTGAGAACTGAGTTTTCAGAGATACTGTATGGTATATTGTTTTTAACATGCAAGCAATATATCAGGAATATATTACATAAAATATATTTATTTTCATTGTTAAAGTTGTATTACTTGCTTTCACCTTCATTTGAAAAAAATAGAATATGCATGCATTTGACAAGGTATAGAAAGACCTCAGAACTACATATATTATTTTCTTTGTAATTCTTGGTACACTTTTAGTATTAAAGACTTTCAAAGATTACATCTGTATTATTTAGGCTTTATTTTATTTTTTACTGTCACATAACACTTCTTCTGACACCCCCCCCCCTCCCCACCCCCTGTAACACACTGTGACGCCTGGCTTGATACCCCCACCCCCATCTGTGTTACGTAATTTTTTAATGGCCCCTTAGATTTTATATCTTAGTCATTTACATCACGGCCTCTGGTCCTTAAATTGGGATTTTTGGATCAATCGGTCATTTATGTATACAGTACAGTAGTCCAAAAGAAATATTTATACCTATTGGAGTATTATTGTTTTTCATCTTTTTTTGTATTTCTTTGATCTTTATCATATTGTACAGTACTGCATATTGTTTTCTTTGTTGTATTATTGTATCACTGTACAGTACCTACGTAATTATTGCCCTTCAACTTTATATCCAGAAGTGACGGTAAGAGTGACAGTGATGAAGAAGACCTAGGGCTGATGATGGATGGTGGGGATACATCTGCTGATGGAGGGAGTGGTGATGGAGGGAAAGACTCGGTAGCAGAGCCGCTGTTCTCATTCCTGGAAGAACTTTGTGAACTGAGAGGTGTGGGCAAGTGGCTCAGAAAAACACTGATTTCCTTTGTTCAAGTTACCTATGGAAAGACTATAACTAAGTAAGTCATAAGGTTTGTGGCTAGTGTATTTAGGTGTTTTGGTTAGGTTAGATTGTTGCTATGAAAGCCTGTGAATCTACTTTTTTGTATTAGGCATTCTTTTGTATATTTATCAATTCTTTGTTTATGGCATCACTTGGGTATGAGGCAATGCTGTGGCTAATGAAACAGAGTCAATTTTGATACTTTAGAGTGTATAGTGTAATAAAGGGAAGATTATATATGAACATAAGAAAATAAGGAGTCTGCAATAGGCTGGTTGGCCTGTGCATGGCAGCTCCTGTCGAGAGTTACTACCACTCTCTATCATCCATGAATCTATCTAGCCTCCTTTTGAAACTTTCCAGAGTTCCCGCACTAACTACAAAGTTGCTAAGCTTGTTCCACTCGTCCACCACCCTATTTGTGAACCAGTTTCTTCCTATCTCCCTCCTAAACCTAAACTTATCCAACTTGAATCCGTTGCTCCGAGTCCTATCCTGCTCGGATATTATAAGAACTTTATCTATATCCCCTTTATTGATTCCTTTCACCCACTTAAATACTTCTATCATATCTCCCCGCACTCTTCGTCTTTCTAGGGAATGCAAGTTAAGTTTCTTTAACCTATCCTGATATGGAAGGTTTCTAATTTTATGGTAGAATAGGATAGAAGGAAGGCAGGTTGGACACTAGACTAGAATGTTGTATATCCTTGAAACAATAGGGTATAAAGTGTAATGTGTGTAATTGTTTGGATTTCAGACATGTACGGGAAACAGTATCTAGTATGCTGAGTGAGTCTATGGTACTATACTATATGCACACAGTGAAAGACAACCTTTGGCCTTCACATGATGAAATACAAGCAACACATCAGCCTCAGACAGAAGATGACAAACTTAGAACAAGGTAAGCTTTCAGTATTGTATGAAAATAACTAAAAACCTTGTCTCCCACATTTTTGTAGTTTACACCCACCTCATACAACTGAATGGGTGTAGTATGTATCACTTGCCCCCTGACCCAATGGTTGTTGCTTTGGTTGTTGCAGAATAGTTGGGGAAGTAAAAGGCAGCAATGTATTACCAGCTATGGTTTCATCTTCTGTACCAGAAGCTTAGTCTTCAGTGTACTGTAGCCACGCTGACCTATATGGGCCATGAGGCCTATGGTACCCACTTTCACAGTGTAACAGAGTCAGTGTCAACCCCCAGGGTTGAGGAAGGTTACCGGGTAACTTAATCCAGGATGTCAACATGACTGACTGGCTTTGCAACACTTCTGGGCATTTCACTGTTATTGACTATGGGCAAACAACAACAAAAAATAGCCCTTCACCTCTTCCTAGTCATGAGATTGAATACACATCTTAGTTTCAGAGTCAAGAATGTCACCAAATGGGCAATGGCATCCCATCGTTATTTCTTTTTCATATTTCTTCACTTATGTCATATATTCTTTTTAACTTAGTTCATGTTAAAATTTATGCATACATTATAGTTGACTCTTTTGTGTCACTTTGGAGTTCCTCATCTTTTTGTGTCATGTTATTCAGTAATGTTCCTCAACATTAAAATATTTTCCACTCGACACTACTGAAATAGAAGGTACGTACTGTACTATATTAATTATTTGGTGTATTGTGGTAGCTACTGATGTAGATTTGTTGCATCAAAAACTTTATCTTTCAGGTATGAAGCTCGTGAGCAGTTTGTGAATAACTTACCTGTTCTTCTGTGTACTTTAGTGGGTCAACAAAATGCTCGCAGAGGAGCAACAAAACTCTTCACTACGCTGCAGCATCATGCTCTTAACAAAAACCTCTTTTATGTAAGTTTTAAAATTGTTTTTGTTAACAAAGTTAGATGATTTTAAATAAGTAAAGTTTAAGATGACACCAATTGTCCTTGGGAATTCTTAAATTTTTCAAACAAGCCTCACAATACAGTACTAGACAATCACACAACACCAGCAAGTAAAACCACAATCACAACAACAATGGCTGTGTTAACAAATTCCAGGCTGGGAATAACAAGCGTGCCCGACCAACCAAACAATAAGGTGGCAGTCGGGAGATTCACAGAAAAATGCTTTTTCTATAACAGTGGCATTATCTGGGGGTTCCCAGTCAATGGAATTCCGGATAAGATAGGGTCAATCTGTATTGGAACTGTTACATGTAAAAGGCTCAATTACAATCTTTTATTTTTATTTCAGACTGTCCTGGAAGCTCTCCTCAAAGAACTGTTCCCTGAACTTCAAGAACATATTGACAAGAAATTATGAGTACAGGTATCAGTACAGGTATAACATTGTCGAACATCGGAACACTCCAATATATTCTCAGGGGTAAGAAAGAAAAGAGAATTATGGAGGCATTATAATATCACTGGTTAACAAGTTGAACCTCTTGAAGTATATAAGTACTGTAGTATGAGTTGACATTTTGTTGCTAAGAGAAGAACAGTTATGGGTGAAATAACTTTATGTCTGTCGTAAGTGACCCACATAGTGTATAACCTTGGAATTCTGGAACTGTTCAGATTGAGATCTTGCTTGATTTGTGAATATGCCAGTTTTCTGAACAAGAGCACTCCACTTTGAAGCCTTGAATCATCTCTGTTGAAGTGTATTGTTGAAAGTAATGAGTCTTTGCAGTGTATGATGATTTCAGAGGATCAGTGCCATGCCCTGAAAAGATGAGTTTAGTACAATTTAATTTGAGAGCATTTTGCTATCAAACCTTAAGAGATCAAACTTCTGCCTAAACTCCTTTTCAATACATTGGTTTTAATAGGATGATATAACCATTGAAGGTTTTAATCCCATCTGCCTATGTTCTAGAGGTCCAATAGATGTGGTGGGCTAACATGTATGTGATAGTGAGTCCAAATTCAATCATATCATAGGATTTCCAAGAATTTTTTCTCAAATCTGCCCAGTAGTATGTGCATAACTGCTTTCCCTTTATTTTTCTGTAATGTGCTGCCATAATAGTGTCATAACTCATTTGTTTGGTCCAAGGCTCCTGACAGTGGTTTTCAACCTCTTCATAATAACTGTTCTGTACATTATTCTTTCTTTCCTGCCATTGGTGGATATTTTCCCACAGTAACATAGTAGTGGCAGTAATTAATACTGTTTTGGTTATGTCAAGCGTATTTTACAGTTGATATGTTAATTCCTGAGGTTAAAGTCAGGGTGTCTACTGAGCTGGAAAACCTGGAAAAGCCAGGGAATTTTACTAATATACCTGGAATTTTGTGTGAATTCAGTTCAACTACAAAATATTGTTATTTTGACAGTAATCTTACCATAAACTAATGCTGAATTGGTTATGTACCTTTCATATTTCATGTTAGTGATCAAATAACCAAATATTACAGGTTATACCTACTAATTCTGCAATGAGTATTGTCAGAGCTGAATTGTTCTTATAATTAAGTTACTTTATTTAAGTGGATTATTCCACATATTAATCATGAGTCATATACTGTAGGTGGATCAGGAGTGTGATTTTTGGGTTTTTGCCAGATTTCCTGCTTTTTTTGGAATATCCAAGTCGACCCACGTGAATCGCACAAATCCGGGGAGAAAAATATGGAGAGGGAGTGTCAAGGTCTTTGCCGATGTTCATCACTAGCCTTGAGGTGGGTCGCAAAAGGGTCTTCAATTTCTTGATTAATATCATTTACATCATCTTTAAATTTCACAGTAGTATACTGTTTACAAATTATTGAAAACCTCTAATGTTGTTATTCTGTCATAATAAATACAGTACCGAGTTAATGTACTGTACTTGGAATTTTTCAAATTTACACCTGGAAAAGCCAGGGAATTTTGTCTTGTCTGGCCAGTAGACACCTTGAAAGTGCTTGTATTTTAAGTATGCCATATACTGAACAACTTTGTTATGACAAGATTAACTCACTTCTCTTGTTTTGTCTTTCATTCTTGATAAAACATATAATTAATATCTGTGATTCCTGATCTATCTGAGCTGCAGTGCTCAGTGGTGTCCCACAAAGGGATATGTAAGGCCTGGTTGTGTGTTGTCCAAGTTATACCTCTTTGTTGATGATATAAAGACGGTCTGTCATATTCAGGCTGTTGAGGACCATAGTCAACTTCAAATAGATGTTGACAACCTCCATATGTGGTCAGACTCAAGGCTACTCCACCTTCCCCCAAACATTTGTAAGGTGATTATTCTTAGTAGACCAGTAGAAGTAAGCCATCATCATGTTAAATGAAAAGTTATTATTAGCTTACATAGCTAAAAAGAAATGAGAAGAAAAAGGATATGGGAGTGATGATTAATAACTTATTGTTGTTTGAAGATCGCACAGTGACAAAGTCAAGAAGTTAAACCAAATGATGGGTCTGATCCTGTGATCATTCACTCACTCACATTTACAGTAATAACTTTCTGATGGTTATATAAGGCCCTAGTCCAACCTCATTTAGGGTATGCAAATGCAGTTTGGCAGCCCCAATAAATGAAGGACACCCACACAATCAAATATATTTGGGCATATATATTTATTTAGCTCTGAGTATACATAGTAACATCTCTATTCCACCCATTTCAGAACTGACTGCTATCCAGAATATACATAACTAGCATTAGTAAGTAAAGAAGCTTGTTAATTTTGATACAACTGACTTCTCTTATAAGACATTATTCTTTGCTGTTATAAAATTGTAGGATACAGAACCAAAGAAACAGTGCTCAGGATTTAACAAACAGTATTTATATGAGTCTTGATCATCATTTATAATTATAAGATGCAAAATACACTATAGATTCAGTGGATATTAATGGTAATTGCTCATTATATGCTTAGATTAGCAGTACAGTTGTGTTTCAAAGAGAGCAGTCACAGATCACTCTGCCAGGAACACAGGAAATTGCAATATGGTATGTGTACCATGTTCAATTTGAACTGCAGTTTTGTTAAAGCTTACTTGACCTTTAAATCCACTCCTCTCTGGTTCAGATCACTCTCATATCTGGAACAATCCACTTCTTCCATTTTACTGTTTGCCCATTCAAGCTTATCATGTGTATCTCCCCGTCTCCCTACTTTTTTTCTTTTCTTCACTTTGCTGTTGTTCATATTTACTGTAAAGTTGCCCCTGGTGCAGTCCACACTCTTCCAGCTTTACTCACTAATTTTTTTTATTTTTTCTTTGGGCTCATCACCCACTAGAGCAGTAGTACAGTTTCTACAACAAGCAGTTGTCTCGCCTCCCATCTATATCATCATCATTGTCATCTTCAGCATTTTATGGTAATTTTCCTTGCTTGTGTGGGTTAGCCATGATTGTCTGATGGCAGCTCTTCATGTTGCATAGTGTCTTGCAGTCTCTCTTGTCAGGCTCTTAATTCTAGTATAATTTCTTACAACCCATATCAGTATTCACAAAACATGTTCTGTACACTTGCTCCAAAAAGTATCTTTACAATTTTGTGTGAGACAATATGGTATTACACAACGAACAAAGAATTTTGAACACCCTACTGAGACACCAGGAGTCACATTGTTCATTTTGAAATACATCAAAGCCCTCCGTAAAATGATTTTTTGAAAACATGTCCCTCCCTCCTCTTCTCTTGATTTCACCTCTCAAACTACTCATCCATGAAAATATTAAACAATCGTAGTATCGTTAATTCATTACACACTCTAGTACTTTCATTAGGAGACAGTTTTCCAGATTTATAAGGTACGATTGAATGGAATTAAGATTCTTTATTGAGTAAAAGAGAAAGTCTGAAGTGTGTTAGAAGTATGCTTTAGAAAACTTTGACATGATTTATTACTGAAATAAATTATCTCCTGAAAGGTAAAACTTACAGCTACAGAAAAAGAGGCCATAATTTGAGGATATCATATACTGTACTGTACATATCCATTAGTTAAGGAACTAAATGAATTCCCTTAAAAATATTTAGAACAGTTTTAATAAAAACAAGTGGGAGTAAACTTGAACTCTGCTGAATCAATGCATCATGTTTAGAGCTGCTGGCACAGCTAAATTTATTCAGATTACTCTTATTTAGTTCACTTAATTATAAAATCATAAGGTCTGTCACTGAATTAGTGAGTGATTGAATGAGTCAGTGACAAACAGGTGTATAGAGCTGCTGGCACAGCTACCTGTATAAAATAAATTACCATACAAAAGCATAAATGTATTTTGTTGTCACTGAGCACATTCAGTATTGCTATGTGTTGCTATGAGAAAGGTACAGTGTTTGCAAGGTCTCCTAAAAGTTCATGTCGTTGAAATTTTGATGGTTCTAAATTGGATCAAAATTCATGCTGTATAAAAGTCTTCACAGTACTGTGAATATAATGACTGATTTAACTTCCTGTGAATGCTTCTTTAAGTAGGATTTTTCAATGTGTTAAAGGATGATAAATTCATATTTGGCAGCATTGAAAACTACCACAAACAGGCATAAAGATTCTGAAAAGTGATCAGTTTTACATGGTGACTGTACACCTTATACCATCATAGTTGTTGATGGTAAGAAGGAAACAAGTGCAATTTTCCTTTCATCAGATATCAAACGAAATTCTGATCTGATCATATAACAACGCACATTGAATGCCTCTGATAAACCAAAGAATAGACAATATGTACAGTGATCCCTCGGTTAACGAGCACAATCCGTTCCAGCAGGTTGCTCGTTAACCGAAAATCTCGTTAACCGAAACCATTGTTTCAATGGGTTTTTGGGTAATTGGTTCCAGCTCACCGAAAATTGCCTAAATTCAACGAAAAAGGTAGAAAAGTTCACTTACTTTGAGGTGTGTATATAGAAGGCTCCTGGATGATGATGATGATGTGAATTTGAAGTGGGAGGTGGAGGAGGAGAAGTGAGAAGAGAAGGAAGTGGAGGTGGAGGAGAAGCATTTTACTGCTTCTTGGAAGGTGAGTCACCTTCCATGAAAATGTCAGGAACCTCTGGACTGACAGATTCTCCACCATGAACATCCTCTCTCCTTCTTGAAGTGGAAGGCTGAGGGATAGCATCTTGTTCCCTCTGCCTTTTACTGAAGAAAGTGTCAATTGTGGTCTCTGGGGCATCTGTCCTCCTCACCATTAACTTATGCTTAAAGAAGGAAACCACTGAGTCCTCAACATGACACAAAGTTAGTTCAGTTTTTTCCACTTCTGGGTGCTTTGAAGCCAGTTCCCTGAACTTCTCCCAGTGGTAAATCACATCTTTCAACTGTTTAGCTGACATATGGTCATCACTTTCAATTTCCTCCTCTTCACTGTTAGCCTCTACCTGTAACATCTCATCCAGTTGCTTCAAGTCATCAGGAGTAAGTTCCTCCTCATGAGACATCACAAGCTCTTCCACATCCTCCTCCTCCACTTCAAGACCCAATGACTGACCAATGGACACAATCTCCTGGTCCAACTCTGTTTCTTCCTCAAATCTCTCAAAATCATGGACTACTGATGGCCACAGTGCTTTCCATGAAGAATTGAGGGATCTAGTGGAGACTTCTTGCCATGATGACACAATCAATTTTACAGCCTCCAGGATGTTGAATTGTGTCTTCCAGAAATGTTTCAGGATCATTGGAAGTTGTCTGATGACACCTCCTAAACATTTTCTTCATGTACAACTTCTTGAAGTTGCTGATCACATTCTGGTCCATTGGCTGTATGATTGATGTAGTGTTTGGAGGCAAAAACAACACTTTCACAAAGTCAAATTGATACTCCAAATTTCTGGCAAGGTCAGGGTCATGACCAGGAGCATTATCCATGAGGAGAAGAGCCTTTAAAGGGAGTTTATTGGTGGTTAGGTAGCTCTTGACAGAAGGGCAAAACACATCAACAGCCCATTCTAATGCCTTCTTCATGTTTTTATTTATAATTTCCTGCTTGGTTTGGATTGAAATCGCTTTTCTTGATCTCTTAGGCCTCATGCTGGATTCAAACAATGTCAACACGTGTTTTTTAAAGTTAAACTTATTGTAAATAAAGAATATTTTCTTTAAAATAACACTGCACTGCGGTATATATTGTCAATATGTAAAATAAATTTCAAAATGACCAATAATTTGCTTGGAACACAGAAAAAAAGCATTTAGTTGAAGAGAGTCTCAAGCAAGATGTTACCTCCAGTGAAAACAGAGAGAGACTATTGCCTGTTTGCTGTGTTAAGAGGCTGGATGCCGCGCATTAAGCTAGTCCCTTTACCTTTATTTATGTTCAATAATTGTTAAAATTACTAAAAAATTTGATATTAAACTTTCAAAATTATTGAATAGTATATAAACTTCTTGATATTTACTAAAATAGTAAGGAACTTAAGCCCTAGAACCGATTAATGTATTGGCGGACTAATACTACAGCTGGTTGACTGCCCAGTGCAAGCCAAAACTTGTTGAGGTCTGCTCGTAAGAATCTCGTTAACCGAGGGGTTGCTCATTAACCGAATTTAAGAATCTTATGGGAGGTAACTCGTTAACCGAAATCTCGTTAACCGAGGCGCTCGTTAACCGAGGGACCACTGTATAAGTAGTTTTTGATATGGCACTATATGTGATTTTAGTTAATGGACAGTCATCAGGAATAACATGTGAAAAACTCAGGCAACAGTCGATATGTTTTTACTGTTTAGGTTTTATATTTTCATATATTAACTATATCAGGAACTATAATTTTATTGACTAGAGGACCAGAGGAGAGATGTAATCACAGATGTATGTAATTAAACTTGGAATGTATTTTTAGTCTTTAGGAAACTTAGTAACATTGTAGTAGCCCTTATGTATGTAAACTTATATGTGTACCTGTATTATTTACAGTATATACTAACTGGGGAACCTGGTGTTTCTCAGGATTGTTTTTGTGGGGCAGCTTATAGCCTATGTTTGTGATTACACTATCAGCTACACTAGGTCCATTGCACTATCTACACTACATACTCTACATTATCATATGCACTACATCCCCTACAGTTATCATTTACACTATATCAACCACACTATCAACTAAACTATCACTTTTAGGTAGGGTCAGATTTGAGAGGGGTCGGGGGACTGACTCCAAAATCCCACATATAGGATACTTCTGGGTTGTTTGTACATCTCCATGCCAAACTTCACCTCTGTCTTCAAAACTGTAGCTGTTAAGTTATGAACAGACAAGCTAACAAACAAAAAAATAGACACTGTGTATACACATACAGTTCATTGACCTCTTCTCAATATGCTGCACTATGTATGAATATATTAACTGTACTAATTATTACATTGTAATTAGTGTATGACCTGTAAGGAATACTATTTTTCAATATACATTTGGAAATATTCATCGTGTTTAGTGCTGAGCAAACTTAGGTTATGAAGAAGACATTAGTGAAGTCTAGGAGTTAAGTATTCACAGTCACCAATAAAGCATCTAGAGTATAGGTTTATGATAAGCTATGATATACAGTACAGTACATCATTCTGTTTGAGGGAATTCTAGAGCATAGCATAAAAGCTCAGTCTGTTTCAGTACATTATACAGAGCAACAATAGTTATCTGGTATGATTATTTGTTGTACAGAAAAGTATATTCTGGTGTTCTCTTCACAATTAACAACCACTAGTACCCTCACATCGTACATTATTGTAATAGTTACATCTCTAGTGAACTATCGTGGACAAAAGTTCGCTCCTTCCCAAACTGAAGCAGTATCGACCCGCACAGCACACCCACACCAGACAACAATCAGGGTAAGTCAGTTCAGAGACTCATTCCCGTGTCTCAGTTTCACTACAGGGAGCGAACTTTTGTTCACGATAGTATTATACTGTACAAGATATAATATAGACCAGATGACGTGAGATATTAGTGCTCCTCACCGTGGGACTACTATGTGAGTACTGTATTACAAAAAGTCCCGTATATAATTCTTGCAGTGAAGTAAAATCCATTTCTTCATATTGCATAATAACAAGGGTTTACTGTACAGGTACCTCTCAATTTACACGTGTATGGTTTACGCTATTTTTAGAATAATGTGGGCAGTCCATTTACACCTTTTTTCAATTTATGTGGGATTAAATTTGCGATAACGGGACCATCAACAGTCATCATCATTGGGCTGGCAGTGCGGTGGTCTCACGTTGCCAGTGCTGTACAAGAAGTGCACATACTCGTGGTGTGGGTAAAACAGCTTCCCGCCTTGCAGTCCTCAGTGTTTGGATACAGTCTACATTCACGGAGTGCTCCAGTGTTTTGTGCTGCGGTATTCTGTATATTGCATGTGTTTTGCCTCTTGCATCATGCCACCAAAGCATCCTTTAAGTTCTCCTGGTACCAATGGTGCTAAGAAACATAAGTCCATCACCATTGAGATTGAGATGGATGGGCTCAAATGTTGTGAGAGGAGAGGTGAACGAACAGCTGATATTATGTGTGCCCTTGAACTTAGTGAATTTACTTTATGATGTATTTGATGGAGGAAACTGCAGCGGGCCTATTGGCCCATACTGGGCAGAGAAGATCCAGGAGAGTGCCAAGAGTGGAACATTAATCAGTGCATCTAAGACCTCATACTGTAATTCCAGAATAAAACAAAAACACCAAAATCTAACCTCAGAAACCCATAGTTGGCAAGTAATTAGCATTTAAAAAGTCATTGAAATCTACCAAGCATCACTGTATGTCTATTTTCATTTATATATGTGTTTGTGTTACGTTTTTGGGCCATAAAAAATTTCCATAGGAACAGATCTCAACTTATTTGAGAGTCAATGGGAAAAATGGTTTCGTAGTACGGAAAGATTTTCAGGAATGGAACCCTTCTGTAAACCGGGGATGAGTGTAGCGCATAAATTGAGAGGTTCTTGTACATATATTAAATAGGAGAAATTAAATCAAAATTATTGGAATACTGGTATAGAAAATTTAAGCTGTTGAAGTAATTGCTATAGGAAATTAAGTACCATATATATTTGTTATAGGACATTAAGTACCATATATATTTGTTATAAGAATTAAATGCCTATACCATATATATTTGTATTCTAGATAAATTCCAGTGAAATATGTTTGAGGCACCAGCCTAGTTCTTAAATCAAAATTAGTATTTTTGTAATACTGTAATTCCTTTTAATTATTGATATACATACGGTAGTGATATTTTTGCTGGATCTTCATAATTATATTACCTTCTCTTTTAATGAACTGGGGCAAATTATTTGTGAATTTTGTGATTTACCTGTGTTCCAAGTATTGTACTTCCTTAAATGTTTTGTAGGTGATATACTACTTAGCTTTGTAATTCACATAATAATCATGATCTCAGTCTTAACATTCCATATGTTGTACTGTAATATTATAGAATTCTAATTTATTATTACTTTTGTCAATTTTGTTATTCCGATGAAGGAGAAGTTACACGAGCATCAAGGTAGTGTACTATACTGTACATTTTTTTCAGTTTACAGGCTTGAACAATATTTAGCACCCATCAGTGGTGGCCACTGCCTGTTTGTTTCCATTGATGATCATATAACACACGGAGATTCCTTGTGGACCTCTCTCGGACAACATTTAGGATATTGGTGGACAAAACTGATGTTAAGTGTTATTCCTTATAAAACACACTGATGAATAGTACAGTATTTAGAAATTGTTAGAAAATTTTAGTGATTGTGTTATGATGGTAAAACATACTCAGAATTACCAGAGAGAGTGATGTAGATGTGACCATTATCTATTACTGTATTGTGAGATTTAGTAAATTCATATGATCAATAAACCTGTTTGTATTATACTGATGTATATTTTCTAACCATGACCTCAGAGTGTAGGTTATCACTTGTTTTAAAGGGACATTTTAGGACGTTACACACCGGATGTGATGCTAGCTACACTGTGGATGGAAAGCCACCTGCCTTTAAATTGCTTCTGTTGTTTATCAATGAGGCTGTTCAGACTGGATTCAATGCTATGCAGCCGACATCGCAGACTTGGCCCACGTACCTTCCCAGATTGCCGCCTCCACGATTTTTCTCAACGTGGATTCCATCACACATGCACAGTTTATTGATGAAGTACAGAAATATCCATGCTTATATGGCATGGCTTCAGAAGGTTACATGTCACGGAAGGACAACTGCTGGGAGGAGATTGCTAAAACCCTTGACCGTGATTGTAAGTAATTTATTGATGAAAAACATAATTATCATGTGATCCGAATGATTTCACAAACTTATTTCCTCTCTGTGTATCACATAAACAGAATTTATGTAGGCCTATTCCATATATAACAAAAAACATTAAAGAGGTAAACATAAATTATTACATTATCACATTTTGTTCCTCTCACCATTAACAACAACTGAATTGCAGACATAAATGCCCACTTCTGCATCCACTTCAAACAAAGCAGATACCTGTAGGGCTCATAAAATAAAGAGGAAGTTGACCCCAGTGATGTTGGATAAGGTACTCACTCACTTCTAGAAGAAAAGAGAAAATACTGAACAGCGAGAAGATTTAGATCATTTCTTTATCAGCTCATATAAGGCCACTAGAAAGCTATCTCATAGGCTTCAAAATAGAGTGAAGAGGGGCATCATTCTAGATAGCATTGCAAGAGCAGAAGAACAGGAAGAATGAGATGTCTGCACATACACCCTCCCCAGTACCTTCCCCATATGGAGATACACAATAACTACACATGCATCTAATGAATCAATCAGATCAAGTGATAATGGCCAAGGTTCTGGATTTCCACAAGCATATCACAATTTAGGTTAAATGTAGCCTAATATTAATAAACTTTTCATGCAAGTATATTTTCGGTTTAATTTATCTTAAGGTAATGGCCAGCCTATCCTTGGGGCTTATGGACTGCTTGTAGTTTGTATCTTGTTTATTGATATAATTTTCAATCATTAATAGAAGCTCATTGAACTGAGTGAGTCTAAAATATTGTCTAAATTGTTCTTCATCATCTGAAAGCTCCTGAACAAGATGGGATGGTATTTGCCCAAGTTTGGTCTCTTCACATTTGTTTCATGTACCCATTTCTTTTTTCTTTTCTCAGAGATTACTAGAGAGAGCAATAATAGTTCCCCCTCCTCTTAAGACCACTGTGCACTGACTTCCATGGATGCAACGATACAACCGAGTGTCTCTCGAAACACATCCGTAGCATAGCTAGCATCGCATCTAGTGTGTAACAGCCTTTTAACTTCAATTAGTACTGTATTGGTAAAACTGGTAATTAGACCAGCAATTTTGTTTTACTTTATTTTTTATTTGCATGTATAATGCTGTTCGGTTCTTATATTTATAACAGCAGAACAAAAGAAAATCTGGAATAGCACTGTAAATTTTAAGCATGAAAGTAAAATAAGCAGCATTGAAATTTCAGTGATTTTATTAGTATGTCACCAGAGGATTTACTTACATTATATTTTGGATAATCTAAGCAAGATATTTCAATATACAAATTTCATGTTATCATGTTATGTACAAAGGATTACATTATACTACAATTTATGCAGTAAGTATTTGTCATTCTAAGTTATGTGAGTAATAACTAAGGAAGTATTAAGGTAGGTATGACAAAACATTTTCTTCCACTCATTTAAATTTTTTGTTTGTACTGAAGTTAAATACAGGTATACCAATTATTTTTTTTCAGGTGACAAAATGTCTATACAAAGCTAAATAGTTTAACCCTCTAGCCACAACAGACTTTATGGGATCATTTTCTTGTTGTCTGCTACATTTGACCACCCTACTCCATCATGTCTCCCCTTTATCAAGGTTTTTGCCTCAATTCAATCATTCCATATAAGAGTGAGTCAAGTAAAAATAATAACTGACTTGATTTACTCTCTATTATTTATAGTTCCATGAAAATATCTTTAAAACAAATAAAGGTCAATGGATGATGCTGATCTCATGGACTAAAGTACCCCTGTAGTCACAATAAAATATTAACATCACTTAGAGCAGTGGTTCTCAACCTTGTTTGCCCCATGCACCCCTTTCACCATATGTCAGAATGTCATTCCCCCCTCCTTTCCAAGATTGTCTGCCTCAAAAGTGCATTCCAAATAATATGCATATAATACTGAAAATCCTTTATTTTTTCCATATTAGTATCAGTTTTCCCACCCCCTGAAAACCTGAGGGGGGAAATTCCCCCCTGGTTGAGAACCCCTGACTTAAGAGGTACTGTACAATATCTAAGCCGCTTAAAGTTTAAGCAGAACTTTTCACCTTTCCTGTGCTACACTCAACAGTTTTTCTCTATCTTCTTCAGGAATGCTTTCCGGTTTTGTGTTGCATCCACGGAATATATGTCCCTCCTGATCAATGACAAAGTTGTAATCAATTGGGTTTGCTATAGCGGTTTCAATGGCTTCTTCCAGGTCTTCTCTTTTGATGAAAGTCTTTACCAATGCCTAAAAGGATATTGAAAGAAAATTGGATTAAAATCTTTTAAAATTTCTGCACATAAAATTGCAGAAGTAAATAGTATTTTGTGAAAAAGTCTACAATAATGGAAGCCACTCCACTGTTGGAGTTTGTTGTGCATCATCCACTGAGTTGATGATGCACAATAATTTCCAGTCACATCACTTCAATTGGGAGATCCTTTGAAATGACACCTGTATATTGTCCCCCAATTTTTCAATTCCACATTTTCCTGACCCTTCACCTTTAGTGTATTTCATACAAGAAACCTTCCTTACTCCAGGTCACTAGAGGTTGTCTTGGGAATATCCCAGGACAACCTCCAATGATACAAAAGTGATGGTCCAACTTAATATAATGATGTGACTTACATATAAAACACATCATCTATTCAAGGTTTACATTAAATCAGTCAACACATAACACTGACCCTTCATCATCCAGGGATTTCAACCCCTCAAATATATTATACTTGTAAGAACCAAGACCCTAAATTTTTTACCCCCCAAAATTATCATAAAAACTTGGCTTATGCAAAGGCATATTTCAGTATCAGTCTCGGACATTAAGTTCTAGATCTTGGTCTCAACTACAGTATATTACTATTCTCATGTTATACATACAGTATATTGAAACAGATTTATTTATTTTTTAACTGCCAACTCCAAAATAATCAAAAAGTAACTTGATTAAAGTTATGACATTGAAGTGTATATGAATAACTGGTTTGAGGCTACTGTTCCACTTAAAGAAAACTTGGATTTGTGACCAAGGAATAAATAGGACATAAGGGTTGGCTACTTAACCCTTTAGAGAGCAAAGTATCCCTTAGGTATTTTATTCTGGCCAGACAATTTTTATTCAGTTGAAGGGAGTCCCCCTTACTAAAGGGTTAATCAATAACAAAACAAATACTGTATACTGTACAGCTTCCTTGGAAGTTAAGCAAGCTCACAACCTACACTGTTAACATGTACACCAATTCACTCCACTAAACATTAACCCTTTAACCCCAGGATAAAAATAATACTCTCAAATAGATGTGTGTGATACATCCTTCTCAGCTAAATGACAGGATGTAGTCCCCTTCACAAGTGTGTTTACAGGAGCTAGTCATATAAGCATTCCATAAATCATTACAGTGAGACATTTGTTTTAATAGTTTTACAGACAGTACTTTGATTCTATAGTATGTTTACTATTACAAGTTTCCTTTTGTCAAATGTAAACAAACAGGGCTGCCACACTACACAAAACCTGATAAGCCCCTTCACTAGTGAAGTACTAATGAAAGGGACTGTACATGATACGCCCCCTGGAATTAAATGCTCCATTAAAGATCTTGAGCAGCATTAACTCTTGAATCAAAGTAACAATGTAAAAATTTAATCATGGTGTAGTGTCCATTCTCCCTGAAAGCCTTACTTAAAGAGATCCCCTCCCCTTAGAAGAACAAAACACAACCACACTTTAAACGAGGATTTATTGAATATTAGTCGAGAAAGGTTTGAAGTGGTGATCTATAATAGAGGCAGAGATATCCTTCAGCATCTTACATTCACAGTTTTCGTCAATTAGTCATACATTAAAGATAATAACTGACAAAAAGAAACCTGAAAACCTCAAACAATTCTTACCTGTGTCTCAGTGATAAGATGTAAGGCTTTCTCTTGGGCTTCCAAAGCTTGTTTAGCTAGCTTCTCTTTGGAAGCTTCCACACGAGCCAAGTTAGCTTCAAACTCCTTGCGAACCCTGAGGAGGAAAGTGTTTGATTAAGATGTGATGATAAGTTTTATATGCATATCCAATTTCATGATTCACTCTGATTCCCAACCACCCTAAAAAATCCTAATCCCTATTATGAACTTCCATGGTATCTCTGGACTCGACTCATTCGCCAGCCTGCCTTCGCCATGATAGGACCTCGCTCCAAAGACCCTACACCGCCAAAGCCCGCCAGCCTTTGTTCCAACTGTTGACGACCGGACCGCAAACCCGCTTCACTGATAATTATCACTGGATGTCCCAGGAATCCTGTTTAGGGCAACGCCCTTTGTGGGCCTCCCCCTTAGGATAACGACCACGACCGTTGCCGGACTACCTCACGAGCATTCAGGATTGTCAACCATAGCTAGACCTCCCTACTTACCCTGGCCAATGCACCTGCTTATACCTAAGTATTCGTGCTAGAGCCCCTCCAGTGGAGCACAGCTCACAGTAAGTGGAATTGTGTGTGTCTGTTGGAGATTGGGGGAACACAGGCCAATCTGGCAGTGGAAAACAGTGATAGTGCAGTTAGACCACTGTCTGGTGGTTGCCTATTGGCACACCAATGAAGGGTCTTGAATAACCTTTAACATCCACAATTATTACATGCTAGGAGAACACAAACAAATAAACCATGGCTACCAAGGTTAGACTTAAGATCATCAGAAAAAAAACAGCGCCTTCACATGCTCAGATAACGGAAATAATGTACAGCATACTCAATGTACCTTTCACAAGAATTTTCCCAACCAATGACGGATACACGGCAATGTGCAGGGACAATAGGGACGCAGACACTATTCTGAGCCCCGAGGGAACACAAGCCTTTAGAGATATAGGACTTCAGGTCATCATGCCACCAGAGGTGAAAGTTAAGAGATCAGTATTTGTGAGTGGACTTGACTATGAATTTGGAAAACACTCGGCACAAGAAATTAAAAAACTTGAAATAGAAAACAACTGGCTGAAACTCGAAGAAATGATACAGACCAAACATTATACACATTGCCTAAAACTTAGATTCACCGACAATACAATGATAGAAAAGGCCCTGGAATCTGGAATCCTAGGATTTACTGGGTAGCATGTCAGTACTCCCTAAACAACTAGAATGGGAGAAATACGTCAATATTCTCACTTGCTTCAACTGCTATGCACATGAAGCACATGTAACAAAAGACTGTCCACAAAAGGCACTCAAAATGTGCAGAAGAGGGAAATACCTCCGAGACTGCAAAAATCATTACAAAGCCTGCATAAACTGTAAGAACTTTAAGGAGCCAGGATATAACACCCGCAGAACCCTAACAATGGCTTGTCCATACAAAAAGAATGTAATAAACGAAAAAGCAGTGAAGGAAAAACAACAACAGGAGCAGAAGAAACACACAACATATGCTGCTATTGCCAAGAAAGTCGTTGAAAAAACAATACAACCCCAGAATACCACCAAAATTGTACTGGGCAAAATACGAGACTACAAAGTGCTCATCTGCCTGTTATATTCCCATGTCATGAACTTAGGGAACCCTGGCTCCTTTGAAATGGAGATGGACAAAATGCTGGAAAGGAACAATCTTCCAATAATGAATTTCCCAGACAGCCCATCCTCTGCATCTGTGCTATAAGCATCCCACCTAATGAACCAAGTAACACCACAATTGACAAACAAAGCACAAGAAAAAGGAACAGCAGAGCATTCACCAACTGCAACAACAACCTCAACATTACAAGAAACAAACGAACCTGACAAGACCAAGGCACAAAAGATGATAAATAAAGACACCCAAATTACAGTAGACACAGAATCTTCAAAATACCCTTCAAAGAGAAACTGGTGCTGTTAGGAAAAAATTCTCAACATGCACCATGGAAACAAAGACGAGGAAACACTAGAAACACTGGCATATGGAGATGACTGCGAATTACAGATTCACTGGTGTGATAAAGGTATAATGTGAAACATAACTACTGGGTAAGAGGTGAAGTGGTTACATTAAGAACCCATCTCCCCTTTTCCCATAAATTCTTATGAGGAAAATTTGCTTTGATTTATGTAATTTCAATAACATATTACTATAATAATTAAAACTTGTAGTCCTATGTTCTGATGTTATCATGGTTGTGTTATCAACATTCGTTACAATGTTCCATGATGACCACTGTTCTAACTGTATATGTAGTACTTATTAACTTACCTTTCTTCTCTTAAAGCTGCCACTCTTAGATTCTCTTGATGGTTGTACTCCAAAATTTGCTGATGTTCAGCCTCGTCTTCTGCGGCTTGCTGCATGGATAGCTCTGAAGTATCAGCTCTTCGGAGGCTCTCTTCCCAGAGGTGCCGTCTGATGGGATGAATGAACACTACTGTACTTTGAAAATTCAACTAGAGTAATGTACTGTTCTCTCTAAGAAAATCAACCAATCCACTTGTATGTAGTGTCCAATTTGAGACCTAACCACTGAAATTTATACTAGAGGAACCCTAGACTTCTCCTATTTCACAGATCTAACCTAGCCTGCTGTAGCAAGATTTTTTTATTCATCTTTTGGTATCAATTCACATCCCTCTGGGATGGACCTAGTCAAGACTGATAATTCCATTCCTATGAACCAAGTCTGATAAAGCTGGGTGAAGGTATTTGGAGCTGCTTTCAACTAAAAACCTTTCATCCATAATGTAATAAAAACTAATTCCTAGACTAAAATACCTAAGAACAGTAATATTCCTGATCCCCTTTGGGAAGATATTGGAAGCATAATGTGTTGTCTAATGGTAGACCCTGCTGCCATATGGCATCACGAAAACTGTGACCAAGTCCCAGGTTGCTGATCTGACTTTCTGCTTCATTTACACGCAATTGCAGGGTCTCAATTGTTTCTCTTACCATTGACAACACAACATACATATATCGTTTCTCACTTTTGATCTTTTTTTTTTCATTTTTGTATTTACAGTTCTTTATTATTAATATTATTATTATTATTACAGTTACTGTATTATTATCATAATTATTTTATTATTTTATTTTGTTTGTTTTATCATAAATTTTATTTATTATGAATTATTATGACTATTATTTATTATTATTATTATTATTATTGTTATTACATTTTCGCCCGCAGGGCCCCGATGTGGGTCAGTGACCTGTGTCCGGGTGGGCTGGTCCCCGTAAAAAAAAAAAAAAAAAAAAAGATGAAATTGACTAAAGGTCACCCCTCTAATGCATCATCTCACTTACTACTGGTAATATAAATAAAATATTAATGTCCTGATTTCAAAGTTCTAATAAATACAATAACACTATTCAACCTTCAGCTTAATTCTATGAGCAGAATTTCATCACAGAGCAAACACTGTATAGTATATTTAGTTTATTGTTTACTTTGTAATTTTGCATTAGTAGCAACAGTTTTTCCCAACAACAGGACTTTACCTATAAAATTTTTAGTACTTTTTCCTGTACTATTAGTCTGTAGAAAAAACATTATAAATTAACCCTACCTGACCGCCCTCATTTGTGTACGATACATATTGAACAAGCGTGTTATTTCCACCACTTCCTCCTTGGGTGTAATTGTACGGGGAGGAATTTTGAACATCTTGCTTTTGGCCACTGGTACCCATCTTGGTTTTCTCCATCTGAAATATTTGATATCTACTTGTTACATCACATCTTAAAAGACTACTAAAGCTGTAGAAATGCAATTATCATCACTAGTAGGCTTTACCTTACCAGTTCTGTATCGAATAATTATAGTCAGGGCCACAAGAACATAAATTTAGAGGCCAGAACATAAAAACATTGCTTGAGGAGGAAGAGGGAAGAAAGGTAAAAAGAAAGATGATGGAAAAGAGAGAGAAGGAGCATAAGAAGGTTTTGGCATGATTTTTGCAATTACTTTTGAAAAAAAAATTATCTTTAAATAATTTAGACACCTTGATGAAAAATTTCCAAGAGATTAATGGCACTATTCTGTTTCATACTTACTATGAAACAACGGCAGTAACTTTAGACTTTTGGTAAAGACAAAGTTAAAAATTTTTGTTATCTTGCATAAAGAAAACTACTGTAGCTATCTAAAAAAAAAGAAGAAAAATATTAGCAGGATTTGCAATTTTTGTAATACTGTAAGTTCAGCAGCAGCAGCCTTTCCATACACACAAACTGTTTAATTGTAAATATGGTTTTGCAATTCCTCCAAGATATTTTGGGATATTGTAGCCCCTTCTTACAGGATGGCATTGTAAACTATTACTGGTAATCCTGGAGCAGTTGGCTAAAACCAGAACAAGTTGTTCAATTTCGTTAATTTTTTCCACAGATGTTCTTTGACTGATATAAGGTAATAAAAATTATATGACAATGCACAGAAACTGACTAACCAATCAAAGAAACCTACCTAACCTTACCTAATTTCCTAGCTGGGGGTAGACCCCCCTACCATATTAAACAGAATTACTTACTTTAATATCTGATACTAATAAAAGCAACTTTCTTGAAGCAACATGGTGTAATTTTCCATTTTTTTGTGGATGTGAGAGTACACTTAAAGAGTAGTCGGTTCAAGAGTAAACAAACAAAGAGCAGATGACAACATATACCAGGACGGCAAATTTTTCAGCTGAATAATAAGGTAAATAATTAATTTCTTCACATACAAATCACATATAGACATCACTTTAGTGTCATATGATCAGTTTTTCTCTCGTCCTTCATACACTGTTCACTAAAGATGATTTATAATTGTAGAGAAGAACTAAAAAAAAAAAAGATGTCCTATCGTTTTTAATTACTTATAATCATCCAAAGAACTGTGGAAAAATTAACAAAATCGAAACACTCCTTCTGGAAATAGCCACCTGCTCCAGTATTAACCTATTACCAAATCATATCATTCCTATACCTTTACCAAAACTATAAAATCAGTGGTTAAGTTGAGTTTTGGACAACACAGGAATTTTAGAAATGTTATTAGTATTACTTTAGTTTCTGTCATCCGGGGAATCTTAGGAATGTAAAGTAATACAGTGATATCTCCGTTAGCCAGAACAATTAGTGCAGAGCACGTCCGGGAACGAGAGATTTCCGGGGAACGAGACAGCTCTCTCAAAGCCGGAAAAAATCCCCCATCCCCGGAATTATACACGTAACGGAAAAATGTTCTTGGAAGTTCCAGAAATTGCCCATTACATCATCTCTCGAGCCCGGAAAAATATCCTTCATCCCCGGAAATTAACCAGATTTTTCCGGGCAAGGAAAGTGTTTCTAGGTATATCCAGAAAATGCGCCTTATTTTTATTTTTCAAACCCAGAAAAAAACTTTCCCATCCCGGGTATCCGGAAAATTTTCTTAGAATTTTCCGGAAAATGCGCCCCTCGGAAAATCATTCCCAAAGCTGGAATTTTCCGGCTTTGGGAACGATTTACTGAGAAAATTTCAATTCCGGCTATCAGAGAGTTCCGGGTTTGAGAGATTCTGGCTAACGGAGATTGTTTGGTTTTGTTCGTTGGTTGGTATTTTATTTATGTGATTTATTAAAAAAAATTCCAACTTTTTCCGTTACGGCTAAAAAAAAATTGCGATTTCCAGCAGAAATGAATATCAAATTCGTTAGAAACTCATCAAATACCAAAGGAAAAAACAATTTTTAATATAAAAATAAAGACCGGTGCAATACTATCTACTCCACCAAGAGTAAACAAGACGGCAAAATTTGTGACTGAGCGTATGTAATAATACTGAAAAATTAATATCTCAGTCATCCCAAATTTCCGGTGGAAATATCATAGAAGAAAAATGTTTTAGAATTGTCTAAACATTACGGGTAAATTTTTACTTTAGGACATGAGTCCCCAGGGGTTGACCAATATGTTTTTCCAGTGTATTTTGGTGTTTTAAATGAATCTGACCTTCATTTTTGGCGGAAATTGCTCGTTTTTGCCCCCCAATAATTGGGGAGAACCTGGGAAATCAGGGTTTGGGTGGGGGAGAAAACGATAACGAGTCATCTAACCTAACAAAACATAACCTAACCCCTAGCAGGGGGCTCCGCCCCCGGACCACCGGTTGGCCTAGCTTAAACTAACCTGTTATCAATACTAACCTAACCTAACCTAACCCTACCCACTAACAAAGAATTTAAGATTGTAGGATAGAGTAATTGAAAAAAATTCCCCCAAAATACAAAAAATTATAATAGAAAGTTGTTATTTCTTTTAATATACTTAAAATCATCAAAACCATAAGTATAGTAAAAATAAAGAAAATTAACAAACAATTTCTAATGACAACAGTTTCGTAAACATTTACCAAAAATCAAATGTGATTGGTCGAAAAAAAATCGCGTGACGATATTTATACATCACTGGTTACGACTGGATGATGTCAGTCAATATTGAGCATGCGTGATGTGCCGATAACATCTCACAATGACTGAAAACTACGTAAAATTAATTAAATTCAATTGTGTCGCTACTATCCATTTTCGCCATGTACATATGGGTTCAAAATGTTTCAGTAGTTTATAACATTCGGGCGCACTATGTCCTAAAGTAAAATAATACATAACGAAATACATATTATTAACAGTGAAAGAAAGACCGGTGCAAGACTATAAATTGACCCTTTTCTTCCACGACGTTTCCCTCGCAAATGACCTGACCTAATCTCCTAACTAGGGGCCAAGTGTCTTAGAATTGTCTAAACTACAGATTCCAATATTTGAATTCCTAAGATTTCCCGGATGACGGAAACTAAAATAACATCAAATCAATAAACCTATACTACATTATTTTACAATTTAAATTACTGCGAGTATTCCCTCTACTTCAATAAGCACACCATGCACTCACCACTCCTCCCGTAACTACTGTACACATACCTGACAGTCTGGGACCCTGCAAGCGAAAGTGTTGCTTCATTTACAGGATACCAGAGCCTCGCCCCACAGCCTAAACTTATAATATTATGCCTGGCAGAAATCATCACCTTCTCCCAGTCTCCGGCAGCCCTGGACAGCCTGGCTCACCTTAGTTCCCGCTCTCACAATGGATATCAATACTGTGCAGTACTTCCATTTCTTATATTTTCAGATCAACTGGATCATTTTAAACCCAAATAAATAATTAATCAAATATTTAAATACTGTTTATGATATTTTATGACAAAACATATATATTTATATTTTTAAATGACTAAATAACATAAACTGTTTATACAGTGTGTGCAACAATGTTTACATCAGTCTTGATTTGTTTTGGTTTTTGTTGTTTACGTTTAAACAACAACACAACATTTATATTTTAAATGTACCTTTGGCAGGGTTGAGATTCATGTAAATATTCGGATCATGACCGTCCGCTATTTTTCATTGAAAATGGGTTTAAATATACACAGTTTTCATTTATTTTAATAGGGGATACTGTATTATTTTGTGGAAAAATATAAAAATGACTGAAATCACGTGCTAACCTAACTAAACCTAATAAAATCTTACCTAATGTAACCTAACCAATATCTTATCTCGCCTATATCTAGAAAACTATGCATTTGTCCAAGAAAATTAATAGAAGTGAAAGCATTCAAAATTGTCTAAAAACACCCTCCATAATTATCGAACCGCTGACGGCCAAGATTCGTTTTAGTCACACCACGGAACTTCATAGGTTGGATTGAGTTGGGTTGAGGTAGGTTAGGTTGGGTCAGGTTAGCTTAGATTAGGTTGGTTTTGGTTAGGTTACGTTGCATTTTGAATGGTGTGTGTATAGCGGGAAGGAGGGCAATGTCGCCAGAAGGTCCATCACCGCCCATGTCTGTGGACGGGTAACACTGTTCCACCTCACCTCCCTAGTCCCGACACTCCCCTTATTGTAGGTCAGCCGTGGCGCGGGGCTAATATTCATAAAAGCATTTTTATGAAGCAATAAATCGTGGTACATGGCCATTGGTCGTGTCAAAGATACCACACACTGAGGGGAAATTGGATGTGTTTCCACTATTTGCTTGATAAATGTCGTAGCTGCTACATGATATAGTGATCATATATATATATTTATAAGAATATAAACCTGTATATATATATATATATATATATATATATATATATATATATATATATATATATATATATATATATATATAAATACGTTCAGGGTTTTTTTTACAGTCTCTTCATGTTTTTTACTGAGTTCCCCTTCTTTGATGTTTGTAGAAAATAATAAAGAACACAAAAATGTATTCTTTGTGTAATTTCATCAAGGGACTCTGTAAACACAAGCACCGGGAAACTCTGCAAACAGAAACATCAAGGGACTCTGTAAACATCTGGTAGTATGTCACTTGACTTAGAGAAAGTTGTCAGAGGAATGATTGTTGATGTGTTCGTAAATAACTTGTCATTCTCTTGATCGTCACAAGAAGATGAATAATAATGAGGATAATCTGAAGTACTTTACTGTGGTGTGTCAGTCAGCTCTACGAATACCACTTCGGAGTGACTGACTATTTGAATAATTCACCGAACAAAAGAATGACTCTCCAACTGGCTGGCTGATTTATTGACTCACTCACTGAGAGAACTTTTCCCACTTTCTTTACCCAATGCATGTCAAGATCAATGCTTAATTACTGCATAGACGTCTGTGTTCGTGTAGAGTGTAGAGGGTGTGGCAATATACAGCGTGTTGGTGACATCAGTTAAATTAAATTATCAACAACTTCAACAACACCACCAATATCCTACCTACACACTTGTAACGTTATAAAAACTAAAAATGACTCACATATTCATAACATCATCAGTATATAAGAGGTTAGACACCCCCCAGTTTATATCACCTAATGATAAAACACTCTAACGCTAACCTAACCTATCCTCAAGAAAGAAGGAAGAAGGAAAAGAAGCAGAAAGGGAAGGAGTGGGGGAGAAGAGGAGCAACACAGGTAATACTAGAGGTGCTCCCCTCCCATGTACACGGTGGTTCATGTAACTCGATGATCGGAAAGTAAAATCCCCCAAAAATATTGAAGGAAACATTTCAATATTTGACCCCTCAGAAAATATCCTAAATTCTGTATTGTGTATCATGTATCACGTATATGTATAAGTACACGAGGGAAAATACTGTATAGACAAGACTCTGGGTACAATGTGTAGGTTCTGAGAAAGAAGAAAGAGCTTAAAATATGAATAAATAAAGGAAGAAAATACAGTAACGTAACTAAGAACAAAACAAAGAAGATATAAGGTTATTGTGATTGCTGAAGGTTCTTAATATATGTTCAAGATTTCAAGGCAGGATCTTGAGGTATTAGAGAAACATGCATCACAGCATTATCTTCAGTTACAAATTATGGCGCTGAAGTAATTTTTTAGTGACGGGAAATAAGTCTCAAGTAACCAGATGAGATAAGTATGGAAAAGTGACCATCATTTCGTTCTCGGATTCGTTAAGAGTTTCCTGGCAAATACGATGACTGGTGTAGGAAAACTCTGGGAATCTAACAGTTTTCGCCACAGCTGGTATTTTAGTACTTAGATGTAGTCATTTCCGGTGGGTGTTTGTCCTCTGGGTACAAGCTGGTCGTAAAAGATTATTTCTTTACTGTAAACGACGAGACACAACATGCCTCTGCCTTCCTCTTGCTTATTGTTCAAATCATTCGTGATCGTGCAAGAGTAAAATAATTATTGAGGTATTGTGTTTATATAAATTGCTATTGTACTCTTGCTCTTATATAGTAAACTATATTTAATACCCAAAGGTATTTCAATATTCTGTCCATTATATTCTCATCAGTAAAAAACAATAATCAGATTTGTTTTAACTTCAACCTTTTGAAAAATTCCCCAACAAAGTGATTAATATCAACTAATGGTCTAACCAGAAATATAACTGGAAGACAGTTTTATCTATCACGCAAAAACTCTGACATGCGATATAGTTTGATCTTGGTATTTGTTGGATCAAATGGTGAGTGTTTGTTACAGTTTTACCCAGTCGTATCCACAGACGTCATCAATCGCGCCAGTTCATTACAGAAACATTACATCAGTGAATACCGAAAATAACAAAGGAAGTTTGTTAATACTTAAATATTAGCATAAAACTGATCAGATATTCAGGTTGATAATAGAATAACAATAGTGACATACAGACAGTGACATTCATCTACTATGTATAAATTCACGTGTATTTACAATCTATGGTCGCTTACACTGACACACCTAACCTCGACATTTACATCTCTAAATACTGAAACATAAGCTAAGGTGGTTAGTATCGGTAGAGACTAAATTATCACATAGTTCGATTTTCCTAACTTAATTTTAAACTCATCAACATACAAAGATTAGAATCCTGAGTTGCTATAATCTAATAAACCAGAATAACTACGGTCTTGTTTCACTCAATGTCCCCTAACTGGAGAGAATACATGAGTTTGTTTAAGCGTCTTCTTGTCCAGAATAAAGTGACCTTCTGCTCGTCCCGGTGAGTGGAGAAACATCACAAGGCTTCCCAGTATATACAACAATTACGGTGTCTATCTGGATATTTGTGTACCAGAGCTGAATGTGGTGGATTGAGAGTTTGTCATGACTTTGGTAACACAAAAATGTCTAGTTGTGATGTTTGAATAGTAAGCCTCAACAGTAATCTAGTAGAACCCACAACACAGGAGAACCCCAACATAATAGGACCCCAACATAATAGGACCCCCAACACAGGAGGACCCCAACACAGGAGGACCCCAACACAGGAGGACCCACAACACAGGAGAACCCCAACGCAATAGGACCCCAACACAGGAGAACCCCAACATAGTAGGACCACAACACAGGAGAACCCCAGCACCAATGGGACCCCACAACTTGGGAGGACCCCTACATGGTGGGACCCCAACACAGGAGGGACCCCAACATGGGAGGGCCCCAACATGGTGGGACCCCAACACAATTGGGACCCCAACACAGGGAGGACCCCCACAGCACAGGAGGACCCCAACACAGGAGGACCCCAACACAGGAGGACCCCTACATGGCTGGGACCCCCAACCACAGGGAGGACCCCAACACAGGAGAACCCCAACATGGTAAGGACCCCAGCACAGGGAGGACCCCAACACAGGAGGACTCAACACAAGAGGATCCCCAACACAGGAGGACCCCAACACAGGAGGGACCCCAACACAGGAGGACCCCCAACACAGGAGAACCCCAGCATAGTAGGACCCCAACACAGGAGGGACCCCAACACAGGAGAACCCCCAGCATAGTAGGACCCCAACACAGGGAGGACCCCAACACAGGAGGGACTCAACACAAGAGGATCCCAACACAGGAGGACCCCCAACACAGGAGGACCCAGCCCCCAACACAGGAGGACCCCCCCCACAGAGGAGGACCCCCAGCACAGGAGGACCCCAGGAACAGGAGGACCCCCAACATGGAGGACCCCAACACAGGAGGATCCCAACACAGGAGGACCCCAACATGATGGGACCCCCAACACAGGGACCCCAGCACAGGGAGGACACCAACACAGGAGGACCCACAACACAGGGAGGGACCTCATCACAGGAGGACACACCAACACAGGGGAGGACACCAACACAGGGAGGACACCAACACAGGAGGGACCCCAACACAGGAGGGACCCCCAGCTTTAGGAGGACCCCAACACAGGAGGGACCTCATCACAGGAGAACCCCAACCTTAGTAGGACCCCAACACAGGAGGACCCCAACACAGGGAGGACACCAACACAGGAGGACCCCCAACACAGGGAGGACCCCCAACACAGGAGGATCCCAACACAGGAGGACCCCAACATAGTAGGACCCCCAACAGGAGGACCCCAACACGGAGGACACCAGCACAGGGACCCCAACACAGGAGGACCTCTCATCACAGGGAGGACACCAACACAGGAGGACACCAGCACAGGAGGACACCAACACAGGAGGAACCCCCAACACAGGAGGATCCCAACACAGGAGGGACCCCCAACACAGGAGAACCCCAACCTGGGAGGATCCCAGCACAGGGGACCCCCAACACAGGAGAACCCCAACAGGAGGATCCCAACACAGGAGGACCCCAATAACATAAGTAGGACCCCCAACACAGGAGGACTGGCACAGGGAGGGACACCAACACAGGAGGGACCCCAACACAGGAGAACCCCCAACACAGGAGGATCCCAACACAGGAGGACCCCCAGCATAGTGGGACCCCAACTTGGGAGGGACCCCCAACACAGGGAGGACATGCCAACATGGGAGGACCCCCAACACAGGAGGACCTGCCTCATCACAGGAGGACACCAACACAGGAGGACACCAACACAGGAGGACTTTAACACAGAGAGGGACCCCCAACACAGGAGGACCCCCAACACAGGAGGACCCCAACTGGGAGGGACTCCATCTGGGAGAACCCAACATAGTGAGGACCTCATCACAGGAGAACCCCCAACATAGTAGGACCCCACAACACAGGGAGGGACCCCCAACACAGGAGGACCCCAACACAGGGGAGGACCCCCAGCACAGGGAGGACCCCACAACATAGTGGGACCCCAACACGGGAGGACCCCCAACACAGGAGGACCCCAACACAGGAGGGACCCCCAACACAGGAGGACCCCAACACAGGAGAGACACAACGCCTAGTAGGACCCCAACACAGGAGGACCCCAACACAGGAGGACACCAACACAGGAGAGGAACCCAACATGGTGGGACCCCAACACAGAGGGACCCCCCCAACACAGGAGGACCCCCCACAGAGGACCCTCATCACGGGGAGGACCCCAGAGACAGGAGGGACCCCAACATGGGGACCCCCAGCTTTGGGAGGGATCCCAACACAGGGACCTCAACATAGTAGGACCCTCATGGGAGGGACCCAAGCACAGGAGGACCCCAACACAGGAGGGACCCCCAGAACAGGAGGGACCCCCAACACAGGAGGACCCAAGCACAGGAGGATCCCAACACAGGAGGAACTCAACACAGGATCCCAATAACACAGGAGGACCCCAATACAGGAGGGCCCCAACACAGGAGGACCCAAGCACAGGAGGACCCCAGCACAGGAGGAACCATAACACAGGAGGACCCCAACACAGGAGGGACCTCCAACACAGGAGGGGACCCAACACAAGGGACCCTAACACAAAGAGGACCCTAACACAGGAGGACCCAAACAGAGGACCCCAACACAGGAGGAACCCTAGCACAAGAGGACCCCAACACAGGAGGACCCCAGCACAGGAGGACCCCAACACAAGAGGACCCTAACACAATAGGACCCTAACACAGGAGGACCCCAACACAGGAGGACCTCAACACAGGAGGAACCCTAGCACAAGAGGACCCCAACACAGGAGGACCCCAGTACAGGAGGACCCCCACATAGGAGGACCCCCAACATAGGACCCCGAAGTGTCACCCTCGCGCCACCGACGCTGAAACGTGATCGCTGGCAGGGTCGTTACGGCTAACGAGGCATCTACTCCTGCAGGGCCGCTGGGGCGAGGCTGGGTGGGTGTTCTTTCTCTGTACCTCTAGTTCCTTTTCTATTTTCTTTATCTCATTTACTTCTTCCTTCTCCTCGACATTTCTCTCCCACTCTTCTTTTCCTCGTTTGGTTTTTCTTTCTCTCTAACAGTTCTCCTCCATTTCTCTTATCTCTTCTACCAATGGCAATTCTTCCTACGTTTCTTCGCCCTTATTTTTTTTTATCGTCATCTCTATCTCCTATTTTTTCTTTTAGTTCCACTTTCCTCTTCCTCCCCCTCCTTCTCATCTTCCTCCTCCTCCTCATCTTCATCTTTCTCCTCCTCCTCCTCCTCTTCTTCGATCACTTTCCTCCTATTTATCCTCCTCCTAATTTTCTTCACCATTTTCTTCTTTATTATATTTCGTGTCTTCCCTGCATCCTCCTGTCTCTTACCCGTTCTAGGTCTTTTCTCCTTCTTCCTAGTTACCTTGTCCTTTCCTTCCTTATTCATCATCCCTCCTCTTCCCACCGCTTCCTCCCTCTTTCTCCCCCGCTCTCTCTCTTTTTTCCTCCATTTTTCTAATTCCCTCTTCCCTTGTCCTATTTCTCACCTCCTTAACCTCATTTCTCCTTCCTGCAGCCTTTCGCTTCCTCTTTTTTCCCTCCTTCTCATCATCCACTATCCCTCTCTTCCCTCTCCTTCTCACTCCTACCCCTCTTTTCTTCCCTTCCTCACTCCCTCTTTCCCTCTCTTCCTTCCGGCACCCTATCCTCTATATGTCTTCTTCCTTCTTCTCCCTCTCTTTACCCATCCTCATCCTCCCTCCCTCCCTCCCTCTACCCATCTATCCTCACCCTCTCCTCCTCCGTCCATTCCACTTATCCTCTTATTTTCTCTCCTCCCTTCATCTCCCTCCCTCTCCATCCACCTCCACCCTCTTCTCCCTCTCTTTATCCATCCTCTATCCCTCACTCTCCCTTTTCGCCCTTCATCTCCCTTCCTCTCCCTCATTCTCCCAACAAGGTGATCCTACAGAGTATAAGAGGCGTAACAGGTGTCAGGCCATCTTGTTGACAGCGACTACTCTGTCTGTCTGTCTGTCTGTCTCTTATTCCACTTTTATTGACAGCGAGGGGACAGTGTGGGTGGAGGTCACTTTATATGTTACCTGGGCAGTGTGGGGGGTAGGGTGAGGGATCAGGGGTAAGGAACAAGGGTGTGGGGGACAGGGATGAGGGAGCAGGGGGTGAGAGGTAGGGGTGAGAGGCATGGGTGAGGGACAGGGATGGGAGGGTCAGGGGCAAGAGGGCAGGGGTGTGATGGGCAAGAGTGACTGACCCTCTGTTGGATCTGAAAATACAGGCCTCTGTGATTATGTGGGTAAACCTCTTGCCATTTTGTGAGTTTTTGAGCGTGTATGAGAAACCTTTGAAAGAGACCGTCATCATGTGTATGAGCGAATATGTATGAGTCTTTGAGTATTTGTGTATGAGTCTTCGTCTTTCTATGGGTGAATTTATGTGAGTCTGTATGAAATAATGGACCCCCACCCCCCCCTCTATAGGTATGAAAACGCCCCTGTGAGCATATCTCTATGAGTCTGTGTGAGTGTCTGTCGCTCTGCCAACCTCGTAATTAGTTCCTCTTCACAACACTCAATAATATATCATATAATCAGGACAGAATTATAGCTTTTAGCTGAAGCCGGGGTGAAAAATCGGGCGCGGGGGACGGTAGGTAGGAGGGGGGAGGAGGGGAGAGGAGAGGGGGGAAGGAGAGGAGGAGGGGAATAGGGAGGAGGGGGTGTAGGGAGGAGTGGGGGGAGAGGAGGAGGGAGTAGGGAGGAGGGAGGAGGAGTATGGGAGGTAGGAAAAGGAGGAAGAGATTTGCGTAACAGAAAAATGACACTTGATAGCTGGAAATTGGCCAAGTGTACAGAGGATTGCAGAAGATCAGTGTTTAATTGGTTGTGGCTTCTAGGCACCGTCCTATTAATTCACTTCCCAGAATGGCTCTACTTTTAATTTTTTGTCACTGTTTTTGTCTGATTTTTATTTTTACTTATTTCTTAATATATTGATGATCTTTTAAAAGTCAGAAGGTGTTTCAATAATTAATATAACTCATGTTACAACCCCTTAATCTGTCCGTATCCGTCCGTCAGTATTCGTCCTTCTGTAACCGTCCGTCGTCCGTCTTATATTTTTGACATCCAGAATCAGTTTAGATAGATAGATAGATAGATAGATAGATAGATAGATAGATACATACAGACATACATACATACATACATACATACATACATACATACATAGTCAGTGAGTGAACAAGCGAGTGCGAGTGAATGAGAGTCAGTTTTACTCCGTCAGTTAAAAGTCAGTTAGTGTCAGTTTTTTTTTGTCAGTAACAGTCAGTTAATCTCAGCTTTTGTTCTTTGCTTTTTGTGAGTGTGTATGTGAGAATGAGTGAGTGAGTGAGTGAGTGAGTGAGTGAGTGAGTGAGTGTGAAAATGAATGAGTGAGTGAGTGAGTGAGTGAGTGAGTGAAAATGAATGAGTGAGTGAGTGAGTGAGTGTGAAAATGAATGAGTGAGTGAGTGTGAAAATGAATGAGTGAGTGAGTGTGAAAATGAATGAGTGAGTGAGTGTGAAAATGAATGAGTGAGTGAGTGAGTGTGTGTGTGAAAATGAATGAGTGAGTGAGTGTGAAAATGAATGAGTGAGTGAGTGAGTGAGTGAGTGTGAAAATGAATGAGTGAGTGAGTGAGTGTGAAAATGAATGAGTGAGTGAGTGAGTGAGTTAGTGAGTGAGTCTTTCTATGTGCTCAAACATCAACCTTTTTTACTTTAATACAATTATCAAACCCTTTTATTATTATTATTATTATTATTATTATTATTATTATTATTATTATTATTATTATTATAGTTGTTATCATTATCATGCTCCATTAACAGTGTGCCATATAAACAAGCATTATAACTATTAACCATTATTATGCTTCTAAGTCGGTATCATAAACCTCATGTCTTAAACACAAGCATAATAATTAGCAATACCGTCATTATTTCCAGCGTAGAATAAACACCATTAACTACGTACCTTATACTAACCACTTCAAGGAAATAATGGACTCTATTCATTATTTTACTCTCAAATCGACGCCATTAGCTCCATTATCCAGCAGAGAGCCACAGTACCGGGGTGTATTGGCTCTCTGCTGCAGGTACAAGGTAAAAAAAAACTCCGGTATTATGATTTACCTGTTGGTGGTAAGGTTTCCTAACTGTATCGTGGGAAGCCTTGTGGTGGTGATCATGGTGTTGTGTAGCTTTTATTATTTGTTTTTCTTATAGAGAGAGAGAGAGAGAGAGAGAGAGAGAGAGAGAGAGAGAGAGAGAGAGCTAAGAACACCCCTCACGTATGATGTTTTTAAGGAAGGTTCCAATATTTTTTCGTGTTTTATTTTGTCTGTCTATGTGTCTCTATCTTTATCCTTTTCTTCCTGTCTTTCTATCTCCTACTTTCCTGCTTTTTCTCTTTCTCTCAGTCATTTTTCAACCTCTTATCTTTATTTTTTCTCTTTCTCGTGTCTGTTGAGGTAGTAGTGAAATTTGACGTCTTTCTAAGCACATCTTCCAACACGAAAATAATTCCTGTATTGATATAGGATAATATAATAATATATGACCTTAAATCTAATCTACATATTTAGCGTAAGATGAAAAGGTGTATTAGTTTAAATTACGCGGAATTCACCTTTCAAAACATCGGAACGCTGTGGCTTTCCTCTGAGCTTTATACAGTATATGGATGCTGTTATTTTGTCAGGACAGTAGAATGTTCTAGAAAAAAAAATCATCTATACTGACCAATGAAAGAGCAATACGAATCAACCGAGAACCAATCCCGTATCAGCGTTTGAATGCGAGCCGTGATTTTACCTTGTGGTTGTGACCAATAGGGTTTGCGCTTT